CCCTCAGTTACCATAAAGTTCCACCTGCTGCAGAGTTAAGAAGCACTGGAGAGTTGAATATAAACATTCAAACAAACCCTAGAGTTAATTTTTGCCATAACTCCATGAAAAAAATTTCAAACTGTTGTTCCTCCCTTATCTAAAAACCTTAATTTAGGCAGGGGAAGAGGGTCAAGAGAGTTGTATGTACTGATGATCCCAACTGTTTGAGTTCTAGTTCACCAATGAAAATTCAGGTGTATCTTATCCTCTCAGAGGTTAAGTTTTAAATCAACAAGGTAAAAATTGAGAAAAGTCAAACCACTAGAAAATTTCTACCCTGACATCTGGTCACTAGTTCTCAACTGGGAGTTTGCCCACCAGTGGACACTGGTCATGTCTGGAGATGGGTGTGATGACTGTGGGAGGGTGCTACTGACACCTAGTGGGTAGAGGTAAGGGAAGCTGACTGCATCCTACAATGCACAGCGAATTATATGGTCCCCAATGTCTATAGTGCAGGGACTGAGAAATTCTGAGCTAGATGGCTGTGCAATGAAAGGCAAGACAGAACCCAGGAGGGCTGAAGGTCCACTTCCTACTGGTCTCCCATCATGGGCTCAACCAAGATCCACCTTATTTGTGAGGAAGAAACACCTGCACCATTCAGACTCCTCTCTTTATGCCGAGCATTAAAGTACATGTGTCTGTAAGTCCCCTTGTAGTAAAAATAGCTGTTGACTGTTTATTACTGTGTGCTGAGATAGGTGATAATTAATTTACATGCATTAATTGACCCAATGCTCACAGCAACCATGAGATAGGTGTGATCACCACTATTCCCATTATACTGGTGGGAAACTGAGATTCAAAGGGCTTAAGAAATTTACTAAAAGTCAATCAGATAGTACACAGCAAAATCAAAGCACAAACCCAGTTCTCTATGTGTCCCTACCCTGGTTCACTCTGCAATGTCTGAGGATAGTTTTGGTTGTCACAAGCCCTTCCAGTAGGGGATGTGGAGGGTATGTGCTCTCCTGGCATCTAGTGGTACTGTCAGGGATGCCAGGACACTGTTAAAATCCTACAATGCGCTTTGAACCAGAATGTGAACAGGGCTATTGAGAACCCCACTTTAAAATATCTCTCAAGTGTCTGTTAGGCAAGATCCCAGGAATTCATATGTGTATGGTATCTCTTCATATTTGGATCTAGAATTCAAGATTTCCTTTAGCTCAAATACACTGTGCTTATCCTCTTTTTACTTTTTATGAGGGATAAACTGTCTTCAAATCCTGATGTCTGTCAACAATGAATGTAACCCCAGAGCAAGAATGAGTCTGGGATGTATAAATATTAAAATGCCAAGCAAGAGCCACTATCCTTGGGCACAAGTCACATGCGTGCATGCACACACACTTTCTCTCTCCCAGGAGAGGCACTCCAACTGGACTTTAAAAGTCAGAAACTGTACGACAACCAATAAAGGGAATAGCTATGACCATCCCTTAAGAGATCACCATGGCAACAAGGGCCAACAAAATGCTGTACTGAGTACACAACTGGAAACATTTCTTGGTACACAAGCACAGAACACCTCACCTGTACCATTCGGGTACTTATCAACAGCACCTGTGCTGCTTTTTAACTGTAGAATTGCCTAGAGTCACCTAAACACCTCACAGAATGGGGGGAGGGGCAGAGACTGAGCATTTGTGGTTTCAAGAAAACTTATTCTCTAACAAGCTTGTTCTGATGCCCAGCCTGGGTGGACAACCTTTGCCTCAGACTCAACCATTGCCTTAGGTGGCAACGGCTGAGAGAAGAGGGACAGACGGTGAGGTGAAGCTTGATCAGCTTAGGATCCCAATCTGGAAAGAGGGCATGTGGCTAGAACTTGAATAGCAAGAGGGAAGGCACTGTGTGGGGCTGTCCCTAAAGTTTTAAAATGCATAGACAAGGAAGTCTCAGTGGGCTGTTCAAGCCACAAGTAGAAATGGAGTTGAGAAAAATGTAACAACGAATTAAAGAATGGCAGACATGTGAGGCAAGGCCACTGAGATGTGACTTCCTGAGGACAACCACGCTAGACCTAGAAACAGAGACAAAAGTACTAGGTGAGAGTGGTAGGCAAAAACATTTCATTTCTCTATTTGACACATATATGTTCCAATATGCAATTTCCAATTAGCAGCTCATATGCTAGAAAGGGTATCCCTGGAAAACAGGAATCCATTTTCTCTTTGTGCCCAAAGGTATACCTCACACTGAGATACGCCTCACTGATTCATTCATTCATTCATTCATTCATTCATTCAACAAACATTTCTTGGATACCTACTCTGTGGTAGGCACTGTTCTAGGTGTAAGGGATCCATCAGCGATCATGACAGATAAAAATCCTTGCCCTCCTGGAGCTTATATTCTAGTGAAGAGCCAGTCAAACAAACCAGTAAAACCCAACATGTCAGATGGTGGTAAGTCAGCTGCCTAATATAAAACAGAGTAAAGCAGATAGGAAATGTGAATACAATTTAAAATAGGTGGCCAGAGACATTCTCAATATCAAGTACCATTTAAACAAACACCTGAAGGTGAACGAGCAAGCACAGGAATATCTGGGGGAAGAATATCTAAGACACAGGAACCAGAAGGTCCAAAAGAGAGAGTATATGGACCATTTTAGGAATGCTGAGAAAATAAGGGTGAGTCGGGGGAGAGAGGGACAAGGAGGTAGCAGAGAGCACCACTCTGCCTTCTGAGCTATGTTGTTAAATGGCTAACAGTGGCAATGTTGGTGTTGAGAAGTGATCACCCTCTGGAAATATTTTTTTTTTCCCCTAAAGATTTATTTATTTATGCATACAAGAGCTGGAGTACAGGCCAGAGGTGTGGGGGTTGAGAGGATTCACCAAAGACAGAGTGGGGAGCAGAACAGGTAGACTCACTGAAATACACTGCTGAGGGGAGCAGCAGGCTAGACAGAGGTCTGCTGCACCATGTGGGTCTCTCCCTGGCTGGCCGGGGGATCAAACTTGTGCTGCAGTGGCTGCAGACAGATTCATAAGGTTGTGTCTTAACCCCTTGCGCCACCAGGGAGGCCCCCTCTGGAAATATTTCTAAGGCAGACCCGACAGAATTTCCTGTGTGTATGAGAGAAAGAGGAGTCAAGGTTTTTTGGCCTGAGAATTCAAAGAATGAATTTGCCATTGACCACAACAGAAGAAAGACCGTGGGAGGGACAGGTAGTTTGAGGAAAGAGGGATTTTGTTTTGGATGCACCGCTGATGTGCCTACCAGACATTCAAACAGAGATATCAAATATGATGTTGGATATGAGTCTTGAGTTTAAGAAACTGAATGGGCTGAAGATGAAAATAATGTCACAATGATTCCCATTTAGTCAGTCCTCCTACCTTTAACTGAGTCTTATGAACTAGAATGCTTCAACCCTCTGGGACTTGGGACTCTCTTATTTATTTTTATTTATTTTTTTAAAGATGTATTTATTTATACATACAAGAGCTGGGGGTACAGGCGGTGGGGGGGGGGCAAAGGGGTGAGAAGATTCACCAGACACACTGGGGAGCAGAACAGGCAGACTGACCCAAGTACACTGCTGAGGGGAGCAGCTGGAGAGTCAGGAGAGGTCTGCTGCGCCATGTGGGTAGCTCCCTGGCCAGCTGGGGATCGAACTTGTGCTGCAGAAGTTGCAGATAGGTTCATAGGTTGTGTCTTAACCCCTTGCGCCACAAGGGAGACCCAACTCTCTTATTTTAATAACAGAAATGCGCCATAAAATGGCCAAAAGACCACCTGATTCACATTCCTGCTCCTTACTAGCTGCGTGACTTGTCTTGGATAAGGAACGTAACCATTCTAAGTCTGTTTCCTCACCAAGAGAAGAGAACTAACAGCACTCTTGAAGCTTTTGTGAGGCGTATTACCCAGATAACATATGCCCAGAGTTTAGACATTACCTGCTACCATCCCAAATGCCCCACCAGGACGAGAACTTACTATCATCATTCACACATACATTAGTGTAGTTCAATACGGGAACCTCAGACCACACTCCAACAGCCGGAGCATGGTATGGGGACCCAAGGCCAGACAGGTAGATAGCTTGCCTGTAGTTTTGCACTTAGAAACGGAAGGAGCTAAAAATAGGCCTGGGAAGTTCAGAAGCTAAGGCCCTATCAACACCACTGTTGATTTAAGCAGACATCAGTTTACGAAGAGCTTCCCTGAGGGCTTAGGAACTGCAACCTTGTCAAAAACGCTCAGGTGGGATGTCAGCCATCCACAGAAAAGGGAATAACACATTCTCTGTCGATCTCTCTCTCTGTTAGTTCACAAAAAAAAGACCAAAACCAGCCAGGGATTTCGGCGGCCCACATCCTGCGGCCCGGCCTAAATGAAGGGAGACGATCAGATCGCCACGAAGGAGCCGGGGGAACTGGCGGGAATGGGGGTGGGGAGGGCAGGGCGGGGGCAGGGGGGTGAAAACAGACCGGGTGTCTCCGGCGTGGGGGAGGCCATAGGAAGATGAGAACCACACAGGATTAGGGGGTGGGTCGGCTGGGTAGGCAGGAGGGGAAACGGGAAAGGCTGGGTCTCTAGGAACGAGGGGGCGGGGAGGGAGCGAGGCGCGCTCCGGCCCACGACCAGGCCCTAGGGTCTATTTACATCCGAAGCCCAGGCACTCAGACCGCGCCTCCTGCCCCCTTCCACTCCGGACCTGGCCTGCGAAGCGGAAGGGCCTGAAGGCCGCCGTCTCAGTGGTCTCCCCGGCTCTCCGGTCCGACGGTGGCAGGGCTGGGACTGCCGGGAGTGAAGGGGCCAGGGAACCCGGCCTGAGGGGACGCAATGGGGGGCGGCTATGGGGCCCGCTGAGTCTCTGTCCCGAAGCAGACGGGACCTCCGGACCCCGGCTTGCCCACCCCTCAGGCCTGTGGGCCCTGAGCCGCCCCCCGCCCGTTCTCTGACTGCCAGCTGGCCCCCGACGGCGCCTCCCCTACCTTCGTTCGCCAGGTCCGCCATTTTACTTCCTTAAGCCCTCCCACAAGGCTCCGCGCCGGCCCGGGCTCGCCTGCTTTCTGCCAGAAACTCCCCGCGCGTGCGTACTTCCCAAGCCGACTCCAAGAGAGGCGGGCAGATGGCGCCTGCGCGTTGAGCCCGAGTCGGAGTCGAACTCTAGATCGCTGTCCAGACCTGGCCGAGCTCCGAGCATGCGCCTGCGCACTAACAGCCCCCGCCTCCTTTTCCCGCCGACCGAGGGGGCGTGGGCAGGGTGGGCGCATGCGCATCGGGCCTCGCGCGTCCGGCTGCGCGGGAGCGACGTTTGTGTGAGGTTCTGCGGCTGGAAACGGGTCTTGACGCCCCCGTTTTCCGCTTGTTTCTCCCTAGTGCCCCACTGTGGGAGGGTGAGCCATCGAACGAGACCTCCTTCTAGGTAAATCCCTGGGTCTGCCTGGGACTTTCCTCACGAAGCCCCCGAGGCCTGAGGGAGCGATCTGAGGGGGAAGGCCTGCGGAACGCCCGTCATCTCGAGCCTCAGTTTCCCTTTCTAAGTCCAGTGTGTCCGGCAGACCCTTTCTGGCGGCCAGGTAGAGAAGTGGGGTGAACAGAGGCCTGAGGTTGAAGAGCACAGACCAAGGGAGAGGGCCTCACGCGAGAATGGTAGGTAATGTTGGCCAGATAATATCCTTGGTAATTCTGATCAATATCACCGTAGATACTCTTGCTCTCCGCACTTGCAGTGGTAGCGAGAGAAAAGAGGGGCTTCTGTTTCATAGATGACACCTGAATCAATTAAAGATGATATGCCCTTCAAATTCATATCCAGAATTTAATAATTCAAGGGCAATGACATATCTCCAAAAGTAGGGGGCTTTCTACCCATTCTTTGCTACCAGAAACTGGTCAGAATGAGTCCTACCAAGCATACCCCTGATTTTATCACCAATTCCAATTAAGTGTAACTTGCATTAAATACCGTATATCGTCATTTAAAACAGAACACCACCAAACCATCAATAGGAGGAGATAATATATAAATAAACCAGAAAACAAAAATATTAAATTCTGGGTAGATCCTGTTGCCTGGCAAAGTGCTGAACCCCAAGCCTGATTTTACTTTGATATAAAGGGTGATTAGCAAAGTATTAGCGGCATATTAAAAGCATCACTCAACTGAAGCTTTCTCCTTGACTTGAGGAGTGAAAGAAAATTGAAAACGTAATAACTATAATCTTTATGACTTGGTGTCATTTAATGCCATGTCTACACATCTCCTCAAGTCATTTCATGCACCACATTCATTCCACATTTTGGGAAGCTCCCAGCAACATGTCATCACTTGCTAAATATAATGCAGTTGTGGTTTTCCAAGGGACATTGACAAGTGCTAAACCTGTGAGCTTGATGAGCTAATATCCATAGTTTTTACAGTTTTTACCAGTGCCAATGGCTGCCAACAGCCTCAAAGGCCTTCCTTTGCTTGCTTTATCTGGTTTCTAACAAATTAACTTTGCCAATACTTATTAATTAAATATTTGTTGAGCACCGAATGTGATGGTTTTAAAACATAACCCCAAATTCTTTGGCCTTCTTCCCAAATCTGTTCCCTTCCCTTCATGGTTTGGTTATTGGTGGAGCAGAAGTGTTCAGTATGTAACTTGTAACTTGGAGACTGGGTCACCACAGGGATGTAATTCCTGCTGGCTTTATGGGAATCCTTGCTCTTAAAAGTCTTTAGCCGTTATCTAAAGCAATCTAGCTGCCTTGCAGTGCTATACAGTTCTGTATGACAAGGATACATTCTGACAAATGGGACATGAGGTGATAGCATCATTGTGTGAACATCATAGAGTGATTACACAAACCTAAATGGTTAAATCTACTACAAACGAAGGCTGTATGGTATAATCTGTTGGGGCCACCATTTTATATGTGGTCCATCCTTGACCAAACTGGAAGGAAGTTGAGGCCACAAATGCAAAGCCCTGAGTAAGAGATGTGTGGCCACCCTCCGGCTGTTCCAGCTGCAGCCACTGACTGATGGCATGAGTGACCCGAGTTCTGAGAGACGAGCCCAGCCTAGCCTGTCCCATTCCTCAGCCAAAGAAACCATGAAAGATAATTAACAGTTGCTGTTAGAAACCACTACATTGGGGAGATATCTGTGAAGCAGCGATATCCACCACACCTCCTATGCTTCAGCAGGCACTGTTTTACAAGTTGGGGTGCCCAGGATGAATAAGATAGACCCTGTCTTAATGTAGCTTTGCATTCTTCTCTGGGGAGACTGACCATAGACAGGTAGCAAAAATAATTTGAGAGAGTGGCAAGTGCTTCCAAGAAAACAGCACATTGTGACAGTAACAGAAAGGGGGGATACTTTAGATTGACTGATCAGGGAGGTCTCCACTGAGAGGGTGACATTCTGAAAGAAGAGCTTCAGGGGAAGCATTCTAGACAGTACAGTGAGTGCAAAGGTCCTGAGGCAGAAACCAGCTTGGTGAGCTAGAGGAACAGTGAGGAGTTCAGCGTGACCTGGGCAAGGTGAGTGAGGGCAGAGGTGAGAATTGAAGTCAGGGACATACATGAAGGGCCTTGTAGGTCACAGTGAGATGTTTGGGCTTCTTCCTAACAATGATTAGAAGTGAGGGCAAAGGAGGGATCCAAATGGTTTATCCTGAACTGCTGATCGGCCTCTCTGGTGTCTGCCTCCTCTTGGTCCACCAGGAGACAAATCAGAGGACCCCTGGCACTTGGACCAAGCTCTGAGAACTGTGAATTGTCCTTCTCTGCAGCCAAGTTGGAAATGATTTCTGTTTTTGGACTCCAGGATAAAGGTCAATCACAGCTACAATTCAATTATTTTTTTGTTGTGGGCAGAGAGCTGGTACGCGAAGTGTCTGCTCTGCCAGTCTCAGGCTGAGGTCAAGACTTGGAGATTAATCAAACACAGTGCCTGCCCTGAAGGAGCTCAGAGCAGATGGGCCTGATAGGAAGTCACCCTGGGATGCCTTCTCCTCTCAGCACCCATTGTGCTGTCCCTCAGCCCACGGCTCCAGCTCTGACAGCTGGATGCCCCGTGTGGCTGACGTGTTGTGACTCAAGCTGGGTGCATCAGCTCCCCTCACCCTCATATTCTGCAGGAGCTAAATTGGGTATGGAACTTGGAGGAAATAGCCTATTTATTATAATTTTAACTTTTTCATTTTAAAATAAATTCACACAAAAGTTGCAAAAACAGTACTAAGAATTCCATATAGCTTTCATCTACTTCCCCAGATATTAGCATATCATATAACCACAGTGCAATGATCAAAACCAGGAAGTTCACATTGATACAATGCAATTCATTAACTATAAACCTTGTTCAAATGTCATCTGTTCATCTCTAAAGCTCCTGCCCCCCTCATTCCAGGATCCAGAATAGGATCCTGTGTTGGATGTCATTTCTCCTTAATCTCTTTTAGCCTGGATCAGTTTCTCAGTCTTTTTTTTTTTTTTTGTCCATGACCACATGACCATTTGGTTTTGTTTGATGTTTCCTCTTGATTAAATCCAGGTCCTCGGTGTGCACATGACGCAGGAGGCACATGACCTCATCTCTACTGTTACTGATGACAACTGAGATCCCTCAGTTTAGATGGTGTCTTCCAGGAGGCTACTTTGCCTTTTGTAATTATTACCTTGTGGGAAGACACTTTGATTCTATATAAAAGAATAGTGATATTTGAGGAAGAGAAGGGGAGTGGGAGAGGGAAAGAGGGAAGTAGCTCATTCACAGTGGTGCCTGTGGTCTTTCCTATCATGCTTTGCTGCACTTTAGTAAGTGAACCGGCCTGATTTGGCAAAATCTGGGCTTGAAAAGAGCAGCGTGAAAAGGAAGCGGTTGTATCAACAGTGACCACTGGGGGGCAGAAGAGGACTGGGAGCAATTCGAAGCCCCACTCCAGGGGGGAAAAAAAGCTAAATTTACAAGCACTCAAATACATCCCTTGAGGTCTGGCTTGTGGAGGGGAACCAGGTCAGGCAGGCGCTAGCTACATCTTACAGGTGGAGAATGTCTTGGCTGCAGTGTGCTTGCTGCTTTCAGGATCATGCTCCCAGCACTATGGATACATTGCCTCTAAGATAGGTTCTCCAAGCTGGGGGGATGCCAGGAAGTCTGGGAATCCCTTCTGAAGCCAACTGCAAAATTCACAAGAACTAAAGTCGTATCGGTTTGGACACTGGGTGTAAACCTTCAAAAAACCACCTCTGGCAAATGTAAACACATCAGGAATTTCCTGGAAAGTTATGAGGATGCTGGTATGACCAAAGAGAAGAGAAGAAACCGAAGCTCCAGTGGGATTTGGAAGTGGAAACCACTTAGCAGAAGTGGGTACCTCCCTGAGAAAGCCGGAACTTCAATTGCTCTCAGTCTTAGTCATTCAGCCCACAGTTCGGATGCCAACGTACCATACTGGAAGGGCTCAGCACGGGTGCCCCGCACGCTCTACCCACTTCATACCTCCAGCACATGTTTATTGTGCAAGAGCCTCGAGGTGCCCAGTGACTGGTCTGAGATGCCACTGAGTGTTGATTTCTCTGGACAGTCACTCCTGAAAGAAACCCTAAGTCCTCCCTAGGATCTAGGATTCCCTCTATTGCTTCCCCCATTTCCCCTCCAGCCCTGGTCTCCTTCCAGATACTTTACTGGTCCTCCCACACACCAAGCTCATTTCCTCCACTCAGAAGTTCTCCTTGCGAACTTGCGTCTCCCCCGCCTACGCAGAGATGAGGTTTCAAACCCATGGCAGAAAGGTCATTCCTCAAAAAGGAAATCAGGGTGCTCTTCAAAAGCAGGTAGGATGGGTGCTGGGTAGCAAAACCCCACAAAGTTTTATCATGGATGATTCTAGAAGGGATCTGTGACCTCAAAGTAGGTTGAGAACTCTCTGGTGTCATGGCTTTTGAGATATATATGCGTGTGTATGTATACACACACACACATATTTTATGCTGCAGCCAGCACCACACCACGCATGCACACTCGTGGCCATGCTTTCATTAGTGCTGTTTTGGTCGCCGATGGACCATGCATGCGATGGTGGTCACACAACTGCACACGTAGCCTGGGTCACAGGGGGCTGTGCATCTGGGCTTGTGCGCTTACACTCTGTGCCATGCCGACAATGATGAACGCGCCCATTACGCGCCCATTTTTGAGAACGCGTACCCCTCTTAAAGCTATACAGGACTGAAATGTATGCTGAAATAAAAAATTTAGTCACATTTATTACACTGACATTCCTGGTGCTTTTTCTTTTTTCTTGTCCATTAAAAATAAGATTAAATTAAAAAAAATAAGATTAAATTGTCGTGACCCGTAACTTGCTTCCATAGCCCATTCAGCCTGCTGCGGAGCTTGTGGTTCTAGGGGACACTCACTTCTCATCATCCTCCACCTTCACCCCTGAAACTCCAAATTGACTCCTACTCCCCACACTTGTATGATCTTAACAAGTACCTATTTGAATTCTTTGCTTCCGGTGCCTTCATATGCATCCTCTCTGCCAGATAAATTTTTCTAAAGCTGAGCGTTGGTTATGGCAGAAATTCTGGTGGTGGCTTCCAGAATGACTTTCATTTTCTTCACCTTGATCATTCCTTGTCATTCTTCTATGTTGTCTCTCTTTCCCCTCCTCTCCAGGATCACCATGAGTAGTACCTTCTCCCAGAAACCCTCCTCATTCACTCACGCACTCACTCACTCACTCACTGTTTGCTGAGCACACACTGTACAGATGTGGGGAATCCCATACAGCACTCAGCTTTCAGCAAGACTGAGCTACTCACCCACAGAGAAAGATTATGAGGAAGACTGACGCGTGAATGATTACAATAAATTTGGTAAAGGGGATAGAGTGTATAAGAAACTTCCAGGAAGGCTTCCTGGAGGAGGTGCCTGCTAAAGAAAGAGTTATATGTGTGAAGATGTGGGACTTGGGTGGCAAGAGTAGTGAAGATGGAAGAGCATGAAATAAAGTGAGTTCCAGGAACAAGAAGTCAGAGCATCGCGTGGGTAAGCGTTTGTGCGAGGCACAGGATGAAGGGTGAATGACAAATGACATGGACGTCAGGGTTGAAAAATGCAGGAAACTGGTCATGAAAATGATTTAACCCAGTGGTTCTTAGCTGGGGTCAATTCTGCTCCGGGTGTCACTGGGTGACATCTGGAGACATTTTTGATTGTCACATCTGAGGGGGTTGCTTTTGGGGATTGAATGGATGCTGCTCAACACCCCGCAGAGCTCAGGACTGCCCGCCCTAAAGATCTGGTCCCAAATGCTACTAGTGTTAAGATGAAGAAACAATTGAAGGCTTACCCGACTTGTTTCTATGGACCAAATTATTCAAATCTCAATGCTTTGGATTTGGTATCTTTATTATCTTTTTTTCAGATGGGGAAATGGGTCTAAGTGATTGATCTGAGGCCACAGCTCGTGTCCCAGCTCTCCCCCACACTGCTTCTCCCGGCCAGAAAAGGTTGGGGGGTGGCAGGGAGGTAGGAGAGAGGGCATTTTGAGGAGGCCAGAGGGGTGGGGGAAATGTGGCATTCCTGGGTTTCTGGCCTTAACAGTTGGATGGGTGGGGATGGGGGGGGGGGTGCTATAATGGAGATGTGGGACGGCCTGGCCAGAGGATGAGGCTCCCATGAGGCTCGGAGCAGCAGTGGATGGGCAGCACCTGGAGGACTGTTCCCACGGTGGCTGTGCAGGGGGTGGTGGAGGGTGTGGAAAGGGAGGGCCTGGGGCAGGACCCAGAGAGGCAGGAGGAAACCGGGCCTGGGAGGACACTCCCAGCCAGGGAGAATCCTCCCCCCTGGCATGCCCGTAGTTGGTGCCTATGTGTGTGAACACCTCCCTCAGAGTTCTTGCTGCCAGAATTCCGGAAGTCAAGGCATCTTTGAGTCTCTGGCTTAACTGAACTCTGGTTGGGGCTGTCAGTTCAATAAGAGCAGCTCCATGATCACCAGGTGCCCAGGCTATTCTGTCTCATTGCTTTGCCATCTTGGACCTCGATGTCTACCTCAAGGTCCAACGTGGAAATTGGTGCTCCAACCATCACATCTGCATTCCGGATAGCAGCCTTGATTTTACCCTGTGTACAAGGGGGCTGGCACCTACCTTGAAGAGTGTAGAAAAGGGGGTTGGACGGACACCTCTAGTGCGGAGCTGCTGTGATTAGAACCTCGCAGAGGCTCGTGGCAGGATTGGGTTTTCCTTGTGCAGCACCTGTGCTTCTAGGCCCTCCCAGAGGGCCCTCACGGACTTCACGACCTAGAGGTCTTCCGCAGGCTCTCCTCCTCAGCTCCTGGGGCAGTCGTCATGGGACATTGCCCCTCCTCAAGTGCCTCACTCCCTCACCAGCCACTCAGTCCTCAAGGATAAGACTTGGGTCTCCTCCCCGAGGGGCCCTGTTGTCCCTGCACCAGGCCTGGCCTTCCCAAGGGGGAAGGCTGGGGGCAGCAGAGGCTGCAATGGTGAACTGTGGGATGAGGGGCAAGTCGGGGACCCATGGGTTCTCAGAATTGGGCAGGGCCCTGGCGTTGGGCTGGAGAGGAAGCAGCACAGTTAGTGATGTCCAGGAGTTCCCTGGAACTGACCACAAAATTTGTGGCACCAGTGCAAAATGAAAACACATCCCCTCTGTTCAAAAATAAAGAATTCCAAGATGGTGACAGGGGAGCATTAAGCCAAGCACAGATCCAGATTATTCCCAGTCCAGGGATAATGGACTATTTCAGTGTCGCTGAAGGGCCCCAAGCTGTCTTCCTGGGACAGAGGGGCCTGAGACCAGCATCTGGGCACACGTAGGGTACCACTCTGGTACCTAAGAAACAGCTTGTAGGGATAGCTGCCTGGGAAGTGCACCCAAGTTTCTGGAACAACTTCCCACCTGCGGGCCCTTCCTGGTTCCTCTAATCCCTGTGTTTTCCCTGTGCCCAAGTCCCTCGAGAGGGTGGCTACGGCCACAGGGGTCCTCCGCTCCAGTCCCATCCCTCCAGCCAGATGGTCTATGGGCAGGACCCAGGCACTGACAATTCTGGAACAAGCTCACGCACCGGTTCTTGGGGGACTCTGAAAGCCTGGACTGAGAACAACTTATTTTACTACATCTGAATGAGTCCAGTGTGTTCACCTCTGTAAACACGAGACAGCAGCCCACCTAGGCTAAGAACGGTTTTCTTGCCATCTTCAGCCATCTGGAACACTCTCCAGAGAGCCTGAGCAACGTTCTGGAAGCAGCTGAGCAGGGAGGGGGGCAGGGAATGGAGTGTGCATTGTGACCCCAAATGGGTGCACTCAACGTGTTTATTTCCATACAAAACAAGAATGAGCTTGAAAGGCTCGGGTCGTTACTGTCCTTCCTCCCTCTGCAAGGAATCCCACAAAGGACGAGACAGCAGAGGGCAGAACCCAGTCTGTATTGGGGGCCACGTGTGGAAGAAAAGACAGACCAGGACAATCCACACACTGTGAGCTTCAATGTCTCTCGGGAGAGGAGAGATGTATTTTTAAGACATTCTTTTGTCTGATTTCATCTAAGGCTTGAACTCTAAGACCAGACAAACACCGTGACTATTAGAACTTTTGGTTTCTAAAACGAGCGCGCTCTCTCCTCCCCTCCGCCGCTCCCTGGACACCTGGTTGGGGCTGAGGGATGCGCAGCGCTCCTGTTTGAAGGGAAGTAAGGGCTTGAAAGGCCATGTGAGTTTACATTAGTACCTTCTGCATGAATGAGAACAAAATATCTGGGACCAAAAATACACATTCATAAGAAACGTTCTAATAACAATTAGAGCACAAAACTATTGGTATAAACTTATTTTCAAAAAGAGAAACTATTGCATTTCCTAAGAAGGCGCTTCCTAGACCAGAGGTTTGTCTTTCTTCTCTGCAGCTGGTGTGAGGACGGACCTCTTGCACGTAGATAACCAAGAGCAACGTGTTAAGATGGATACAGTCCTGGGTGTTTAAAGCTCAGGGCTGCAAAAGTCCTTGGGATTCCTTTGTCTCTAGAAGAGAATTTTGACTTTGAGCAGTTCAAGATGGGACTTGCCCGTGGCCACAGCGCTCCGGGAGGTGTTCCGGTAGGTTCTGTGGAGCAGGACGCGGGCAGCTGCTTGTGCAGACTTGGCACCCTCTGGAGGTGCCACCAAGACACTGGCAGCATGGCCCCCTGGGAGCAGACTCATTCCAAACCCAGTGGTTTAGTTTGGCTTGATATTGACTGTGAACTTGGACAGGACCCCGATCCTTTCTGTTGTTGATAAAACATCTGGTTTTTATTGTTAAAGACACCACCACATCTTGGCACTAGTGGGCCTGTTTCTGCGCTGGTTCTTTGAGTCACGCGGGCCGGGAGTCATCCAGGGATGTGTTTGGCAGCTGCTTCTGGAGGACTTTGGCGTTTAGAGCCGGGACTCCCGCAGGGCAGGTGGCCTTCCAGGCCCACGAGCTGGGGGACGCAGAGCCGGGACATGGTGGGGTGGGGGCTTCACTCCACAGAGGCATCAGGCCTAGGTTCTGCTTTGCGTTTCCAAAGCTCCTTGGATGCCAGTCAGCTTGGTCTGCCAACAGCAGGGGGCATCCCTTCCTTCCTGGGATCTGACTGACCCTTTAGAAATCATGGTGAAAACTGGGATCAGCTAAATGGAGGAGAAGCCAAAAGTGGAGGTAATGATTTGCTCAGCCCCTTGGAAGGGTCCCCTCAAGTACAGTTCACAATTCCAGCAGAGGAGAGAATGAGAAAATTCAGAAGGGAAGAGATCTGGGCACCCAGGCGCTCGGGGGGCCCAACGGCACCTTTGTGTGTTTGACAACTGTGTTTCTTCTTGAGAGTTATAGTGTCCTTGAAGGGCACTGCCCGGGGCCCCTGTGAGTCAGGGTGAAGGCCACATCGTCCAACAGGCACCCCCGCATGGGGCTCCAGGCGTGCTAGATGCCCTGCAGGGAGTGGTTAGGCTCGCTGCGCTCCCGCTTCACCAGAGGTTCACCCAGGCTTCGGGCATCAGAGTCGGCCTCGCTGGTTCGGTCTTCGCTGATGTCGTCTGTGGGGTCAGCGTTGGGGGTGGGGGGTGCCAGGGAGAGAGAAGCATCTTCAGAGAGGCCTGTTGGCCGGGGCTCAGGGCTGGGTTAACCAGGTCCTTCCTGGGGTTCCTCCCCAGCCTGGGCGGGGGGCGGGCTTCACTGTCACTGCCCTTTGCCCACCACCACTTTGCCTGCCTCATCTCCCTGGCGGGCTCCCCCTCGGTGGCTGGTTCTCCCACATCCACGGTGCAGGGAACGGACCCTCCAGAGGTGGGTGTCGGGGACCCATGGCCGCCCCGGTCCTGGCCTGCACAGAGGTGGGCCCTGAGCAGGATTAAATGCTGTTCTCGGGCGTGAGGGGCAGGGCTGCTCCTCTGAGCGGGGACCCGGTTCAGTCCTGCGGCCGAGTGCCCACTGCCCAGGCATTGCCCGCCCCTCTGGATGCCAGGCCCTGGGGATCCTTAATCCAGGGGCCCCTGATTCCACCAGGCTGGTGGGGGGAAGGGTGGCTCCCGGGAGTGCTTGGGCGGGAAAGCCACAGACACACTCACCTTTGTCAAGAAGCGTCAGTGACAGCGAGGCCAGATCGTTGAACTGAAAGAGAGAAGCCAGTCAGGGGCGTCCATTGCGGGGTCCCCTGAATGTCAACAGAGTCTTCACACGCGGCTACAACAGGCTCTTGGAAGCCTGGGGTTCTGACCTAAGAAGTTGCTGTGACGCTGGCTGGGACCCTCCTGAGACTTGCCAGGTCTCCCCTGGGAGCTACTGAGGGTGGCGGGGTGCTGACTGGTCAGATCAGCAAGGGGACGTAGCAGTGGCCTCTGTGAAGCGACAGTGAAGACGTGGCTGCCTGTGTCACAGGCGCCTATGTGCATGACCTACCTCAAAACAACCCCACGTGATCTAGCAATTCCATTCCTAGAAAGAGACCCCAGAGAACTGAAACCAGCGCGCAAACCTGTATTTGTGTAGAAAGTTCACGGCAGCATTATTTACAGTAGCCAAAGAGTGGATGATGATCTGAAAGCCCACCCACAGATGGATGAAAGGACAAACAAAAAATGGTGTGTTAACACGAGATGGACCAAGGTCGGCCATAAGGAGTGGCGCTCACAGAGGCTCCCCCTCGGAGGGGCCTGGAAGACGTGGTGCTCAGGGAGAAGCCAGACACAGGCCAGGGTGTGTGAGTCGGCTGATGTGAACTGCCCAGGACAGGCACAGCCACAGCCAGAGATTAGGTTCTGGTGGCAGGGGCTGGGGAGGGTGGGGGCGGGTTGGTAACAGCTGATGGGACTGGACTTCTTTATGGGGAGTGAAAAAACCTGGAACTAGACGAGATGGTGAAGCGCAGCACTGCGAATTGCCACTTGCTCACTTTAAAATGGTCAAAATTGTAAATTTTATGTTATGTATTTTAGCCAGAGATGCGCCCCCATGGTAGGGTGTTCCAGGCCTAGTCTCAGAGGCAGGAAATCCTGCCCAGGGTCACAGGGAGCGGGGGCAGAGGAGTCAGGGGCTGAACCTGGGCTGCGGGGCTCTGGCCGGCCAGCTCCTTTCCACCCGCTGGGCTTCCATCCCGAGGCCCCCCACCAGGACGGTCCCGCCCGCACCCTCCTGCAGTCCCGCCACCGGAAGGGTCCTCACCTCTCCCATCACAGCGATTGGCGTCTCTCCGGTTGCCTCGGCGACGCGATGCTCCACCAGGTAGAACATGTACTCGTCGTACAGCAGGCGGATCAAGTGAAAGGAGCCGAAGCTGGCGGCGCTGCGCAGGGTGAGGTCCCGGATCACCATGGAGCTGGGGGGTGGGCAGACAGAGCTGGGAACCTCGCCGGGGCGAGCACAGACGCCTGGCGGTCAAGCCAGGCTTCCTTCTTCCGCTCCGACACTGCCTGAGAACCCTGTAGACCCGCCAGTTCCCAAGACCACCAGGGAGGGTGGAAGCAGTCAGCTCTAAGCAAGAGGCGGCTGAAAACACAGGATTTACGTTTTGGTGATGTGATGGCCTTGACCACAAGCCTTTGGTAAGTCTTCCCAGTGCCATCAGGGAGGCCCCCACAGCAGGCAGCCTGGCCTGGCCTCCCCCTCCTCCTGACACCTGTGGTCAGCGGTTAAAGCACCTAAACAGGTGATGCCTCATCCAACTCTGGTAGGTGTCGGCAAACTACACTCAGTGCAGACCTCGCTCAGCCTGTGAGCTAAGAATGGTGTCTGTATTTGTGAATGGTTGGGGGAAAAGGTCAAAAGAAGACTTTTCTTTTAAAAATTTTTGTAGACAGGGCCTCCCCGGTGGCGCAGCGGTTGAGCGCTGGGTTGCGAAGCTGCGCGCGGCCTCTGCGGCGCCGGTTCGATCCCCGGCTGCTCCCCGGCCACCAGAGGAGGGTCCCACATGGCGCGCAGACCTCTCCTGCCGCCCGCTGCTCCCCTCAGCAGTGTACTTCGGTCCTTCTGCCTGCTCTGCTCCCCGCTCTGGCTCTGGTGAATTCTCTCGCCCTCCCGCGCTTCTGACTGTGCCCAGTGCATGTATAAACAAAACAAAAACAAACAAACCAGCAAACAAATAAATAAAGCATGCCTCTATAAAAAATAAAAAAAAAAAAAAAAAAAAAATTTTTGTAGACAAACTGGGGTGTAGGCCAGAAGTGTTGGGGGGCAGTGAGAGGATTCACCAGAGACAGAGTGGGGAGCAGAACAGGCAAATCTACTGAAATACACTGCTGAGGGGAGCAGCAGTCAAGACAGAAGAGGTCTGGGGTGCCATGTGGGTCAGCTCCCTGGCCAGGATCGAACTCAGGCCCTAGTGGTGACAGTGCTGAGACTTAACCCCTAGGCTACCAGGGAGGCACAGAAGACTTTTATTTCATACCTGCATTTCATATTTCTAAGTCCATAAATAAAAGTTTATTGCTATAAGCCCTGTTCATTTGTGTGCTGTGTGTCAATAAAATTTTATTACTTAAAAATGCCTACGATCTGATTCTTTACAGAAAGAGTGACCCCTGATTTAAAGAAATTATAGAACATGGCACCCAAGTAGAAACTCACCTACAAACACACTGTCAAGCAGCCCCAAGCACCCAATGCCCCTTCTCTGAACTGCTTTCAGTTATGCCTCAGCACAATCACGCCAATAAAACAAGAAGGGACCCAGACCAGGGGGATGAGGCACTATAATGTGGCCTGCACTCGGTATTGTCAAGGGGCCGTTACTCTGACGCCTGGTGCCTTGTAAGCAAACCAAAACCCAGGCTGAAGCCAATGTGTTTGATTCGAGAAAGTAAAATTTAGGAACAACCAACCACATCCAGTCAGTTTCCAAGTAAGCAGCCGTGTAAGCTGTAGCCAGTCAGATCACACCCTGGCTTTGCCTCCAGGTTTTCTCCAGCATCCTGGTTCTGCTTTATCCTCGTTTTTGGCTAAACTGTCATTTTCATTTTGTGGCGCCAGGGTATGAGGTTCATGGCTGAGCCACACAGTATTGAGGTTTACGTTTTTTTTCTCGTTCATTCACTCAATGAATATTTGGGTGCTGGGGCTAGAGCAGTGAGCAAAAGTAATGTCCTAACTCTGGGGAGCATGTGCGCTTGAGCTGCTGCCTGTGTCCAGAAGGCCCGAGGCTGATGATTTCTGTCTACAGCAGCCGCAACCTGGTCTTGGGCCACAGATGCCTCCGGGCCTGCCCCAGTGTCTACCCTCCAAGAATGACACCACGGGTCAGGCCCTTGTTTATGGGATTCAGTTACTGCTCCAGCCCTGCTAAGCAGAGGAAAGCACCTCCCCTTTCCATCCTCGCAGAAGACATCAATCAGGGACTTACCTGTAAAAAGACCATTTCAGCAGGAACTGCCGGGCAGCCTTGGGGAAGCTGGGGCTGCCTGCGTGCTGCTTCAGGACCTGGGTGACCACATTGTCCAGCCAACTGGCCCACTGGTCCAGGGAGCTCTGCTGCTGCAGGGTCAGCTTGAAGTCCTGCTCTAGTCGCTGCACCACACTCTCCTCGCACTGGCACACCCATGAGGCTTGTTCCTGTGGAGCACAGAGGGACAACTACCAGTCTCTGTCCTACCAGGTGGCTGGAAACACAGGGCCCAGCCAGGCCATCTCCAGATCACAGCTCTGGGCCAGACATCCCGCTGATGAGTCCACCTTCTCAACCTTGGCCTTTTCCAATTCAGGCTGAGCCTGGTGCTTGCACACTCCGCAGGGGCAGATACAGCCCGCATGCAGAGAGGGCCTGGCCCTAGCTGCTTAGGATGAAATCCAGGCTTCCTGCATCCAAAACTCAGAATGCATTACGTTTCATTTTTCAGAGGTCGCTAGATATAGTGCATGTGTGTTTACTGAGTGGATAAACTCGGGAAGGAAGTGGATGAAAATATTGCCGGTGCCCCACATAAGCCCAGGGGCAGCCATGAAAATAACAGGCAGGCAGATTTTAAAGACAATGAACCAAGGTGTTGGTCTCAGCACCTGGATGCCAGGGGGACTTGGCAGGTGAAGGAATGAAGACCTCAGACCCCTGGGTGGGCTGCAGGGGCTTTGACCTAGACCTTGGTTTGTGCAATAGCAATGTGAGGTGTGAGGTTTTTCTGTGTGCTGAATTTTGGGGGTTTGGACATTTTTCTAGAGGGGGGAAGTCTAGGACAGCAGTTGGGGTCCCTGAGCCCTGACCCAGCCTGTGGCGAGCTGCGATGGTGGTGGTCACCTGCACGTTGGCGAAATCCACGCGGTTGAGGTCGCTGAGCATCTGGTTGATCTGGGACGTGTTCTGGAGCACGGCCCGGGCTGCCTGGGCCAGGTGGTTAAGGGACGTGTATCTCCGTAGTGTCTGGGCAAAGGCACTGACCACACCGACCTGTGAGCGAGGACAGGAGGGTGAGCTGCACGGGGAGTGCCGATTCTCTCTTCCCTTTGGTGCACACCGGGTCAAGGACGTGGTAGGGGGTTGGGAGAAGGAAAGAGTGCTGCTGGCAGGGAAGAGGACCCACGTCCTGATCGTTCAAGAAGACCACAGCAGAGGGGCTTAGCATTCAGTTTGCTTATGCCCCCTCCCTGCTTCTAGATTCCCTTTGACTCTGTAGTGGCCAGTAAAATGCAGATTCCCGGGTGCCATTGGATGAAACTCTGTGGGTGTATGGTTTGCGGGTCTGCATTTTTCACAGCTCCTTAGGCAATTCTAATAGGCCCTGAAGTCTGAGGGCCACCGGCCTCACAGAGCAATTCCTGGCTGTAGGCAGGCTGATCAGGTGCCCAGAATCTGGCCTCAGCTGTACCAAGCGGCTCTGTAAGGATGCTCCACGGAACTGTGGACAAGTGGTCACTTTTTCACAAGAGGGCCAAATCTGTACATTTCTAATTCTGATTTGTGGCCAAAACTGCTGTAATAGGTGATAGCAAGGAGATTAAATTCCCTCCTATGATGAGTTAGAAACATTTGTTCTGTTCTGAATTGACCCGAACGCATGACAGAAAAATGACCACTGCTGCGGCAGACCTTCCTGCTGTCCCCCATCACAGCACTCTTGGTGATCCCGGGGGATGGGGTGCTCAGGAAGAGCATAGTCTGAGTCTTCTCTGGAGCACCGTTCTCTCCCGAGCTGCTCCTGGTGGCCTCTCCCTTCACCGCACAGCAAGGCCCCGTGGCCTCTGCTCCCTCCACCAGATCCCCACCAGTCGTTACCTTGGTCTGGATGACCTGTTGTGGGAAGTCGCTCATGGCATTTGTCAGCCAGCCTTCCAAACTCTTGGCAAAATTACGGATGGCCTGTGTCAAGGTACCTGGAAATACAAACCATGATATTAGCAACGAGAAAGGCGGCCTCCCCCGTCAGTCAGCGGTAAGTGTAAGAGATGCAGATGTGATGAGAACCACCACCCCTGAGCGAGGCCACAGAGCAAGAAGGATACAAGAGTGGCAGTGAGAATTTAAGACACTTACTGAAGGAGGTGCTGAGTAAGAATTGGGGTCCACCAGAGATGGTTATCTCTGCTCATTTATCTGTCTAGCTAGTAGGTCTCACCTGGGGGGACTCTGCCCCCAGGGGACACCGGACCATTTCCTGGGGACATCTGTGATGGTCACATTAGAAGTGCTCCTGGCATTGCATGGGTAGGGGGGCTGGGCTCAGTCCTCCACAGTGCCCAGGATGGTCCCCCACAGAGAGTGATCTGGCCTCAATGTCAGCAGTGCCTAGGAGGTGAGACCCTGATACACACAGCATGTAAATATATTCTAGCAACTTCCAAATTTATTTTGAGATGGTCTGCAATAAGAAACAAATATGTCTGTTTTAAAAAAAAGAACAAAATGCCAAATGTAAAAGGAAACAACCCCAGACTCAAATCTTAATATAGAGATGCTAATTGAACACTACATTAAAACGTTTTCAGGCAGGCAAGGCCAAAAGGAAAAATATAATAGTTTTGCTACAGTTCTTTAAGCATGGTGAGTCTGGCACAATATTTACACATAGCCTGGCTGGCATAAACCATGGTGCCACAGCAGTCTTTCAATGAGACAGGCCTTCCAGTCGGGTGTCCTTGCCTTTCGTTGGGAAAAGCCCTACCCCCTGGAGTACTGTGAGTGGCTGGCAGGGTGGGTGCCCCCTGATGGTGTGCATTGTCCTCGCCATGGGAGGGTGCAGAGGCCCTGGGGAGGTCCTGAAGGCACTTGTCCGCCCCAAGCAGGGTAGCCATCAAGTCACAGGGTTCAATTTTTCTCTTTTCCTCAATTAAGAATCTGGAAGATCTCCTGAAGCATCCACCACGTGATGCTGGACAGTCACAGTGTCAGAAGGCAGCTGAGCTCTGTGTTGGGTCCAGAGCGGGTGTGTGTGTGGAGGGAAATGTGTGAGTGTAGGTGTAAAACTCCATTCAGATCTTCCCGGGGAGCCTGGTGTCCCCTCTCGGGTCTCCTTGGGAATGCTGTGGATACCACACAGCTCCAGGTAGCAGCACCCCACCCCCCACCCTAGCCCCATCCAGACTTGATGGTGGGCATTGTCCATTGGCCCATGCTCTGACTCTTTCTGGGTTAGTAGCAAGGAAGGCACTCAGGCAAGAGTAGCATCTTCCTGGGGACTGCGCTACTGCTCCCCTCTGGATTCTGGGGCCCAGGTCTGAGACACACGAGACAGTGTGCAGGGGGAGAAGGTTAAGGAAAGCTGGTGCTTACTGGGCACAGGACGCAGCACGTCAGGGATGAGGATTTCGACCAGGGCCTGGTACAGGATGTGGTCGCAGTTCCTCATCCACTTGAGAATGGGGTCACATTTGCACAGAGAGACCAGCTTGTCCTTCGGGAGGATGGTGCCTTCTGGTTCTTCGTCGCTGTGGGGCAAAGGGGAGACAAGGTGTACTGGGGCCTGGTGTCTTCGTGAGCGCCCTGTCAGCCCTGCGGGTGGCAGGAGGGTGCCTGCCTGGGCCTGGGGCACCAGAAAGTAAAGCTGCAGGACCATACCCAATGAAAAGGGCTAGAAAACCCACAAGGGAGGTTTGCTCCCCTATTTCCATGCCCTGGCCAGCCTGGCATGCCTCACGGGGGACCGTGCCGTGCCTTCCCTGCTGTGGCGAGGTGATGAAGACCCACCACAGTTACAAGCCAAGGTGACTTCTATTCAGGATCAAACCTCTAAAACCTCTCAGGCTGAAAGAACACGGGCAATGGGGAGACAAAGCAACTGCCACATGTGCAGAAACTACACACAGACAAGGGTGGTCCGAGTGCCAATTCCTGCAAAGCTGATGCCTTTCTGTGTTCAGCGTGGCTCTTCAGGTTAAACCCAGCAGGTAGGGTGGGGCGGCCCTCTCTGAGGGACGAGTTACCTGGCAGACAGAGAGGCAGGGTGGTCACTGGCTGAGACTTTGGAATTCCAGAAGGAAAGCCATAGCTTCTCAATGTAGTGAAACTGGAGGTTCATCACGACATCTAAAGTTGCCTGGGAATAAAAACGGTCAGTTAAACACATGGGCGTGCGAGCGTCCCGGGTTAATGGAACATGCCGAGCAAGCAGCCACGATGAAGGTTGCAGTGGGTCTTTTAAGATCCAGAGGGAGACCCCCACGAGGGGACAGAAATGAACGGGGTAGGGGGAGCCCTCATCCAGAAAGCGCAGGTTAGAGAGCGCAGGGGACTGCTCCTGCCCCCTCCACGTGGCCAGGGACGCCTGGTGAAGTTTGGATGTTGGTGGACTGGCGATGAACGTGTGAAAGTGACTGCTCGACCATGCTTGACTCTGCACCCAGGCACCCACCGAAGCCCCAAGGCTCAGGCTTGGGCTCTTTCCGGAAGCCGCCTGGAGGGAGGGGTGGTCACCTCGCAATGCCGCCGGTAGACCAGCTGCAGGGCCTTGACGTCGTGCAGCGTGATGGTCTCCTGCAGCAAGACGCCGCCCAGGTCAGGTGCCGGGAACTCCGGGAAGACGTGGGAGACATCTGGGGGGAAAGGGGGTACTTAAAAGAGCAGCACAAGATCCACATGCAGAAGCTGGGCTAGGATGCCCAGGTACAGGTGTCAGTGTTGTCACCCCAGAAACAGCCTGATTGCCTGGGGGGTCATGCTACTTGGTGAGCTTCGGTTTTCTCGGGGACCAAATCCTGATGTTAAATATACTGGTACATGCAAAGGAGGCACTGAGCTCTGGGCTTGGGACAGAGCGAGGCTCTCATCACCCCAGTGAGGGGTCCCCCAGGGCAGTGTGTTTGGGGAGAAGGCTGACATGGTGGTGGCCTCCCAGGTAAGGCCAGAGTAGTTCCAGTAGGCCCAACATTGGACAGTTCTGTCTGGGCTAAAAAATACCTTAGAAACACATGAAGGCCACTGAGGTCTTCAGTGTGTGACCTTGAGCAGCACTGGTCATGGGGGGCAGCGGCCCTGGGTGTGTACTGGGTGGCAGCAGGCTCTGAGGTAGATGCTCTCCCAGGCAGTGGTTGGGGAGGGACTCTCTCTCCTGGGTAGCTCCCAGGGAAGAGGACTGGGTAGCCCTAGGTTAGGGTCCCAGGAGGGGAAAGACTCAGTTTTGGGAGTTTTGAGCATCTGAGGCTCCTGGTAAGAAAGGAAGAGGTGACAGCAAAATTATGTGGCCAGCCCTAAACCAATAGGTTTTTAAAACACAACATCTAGTCTTTCTAACAAGCATTTCATTTTATTTACTTATGTTTCTGATGGTCACTTTATACATTAATTTTGGGGTTATGTGTTGATAAGTCTAAAATCTCTAGGATGCCACAAAATTTTCCAGAAAGTTCTAGAACTTTCTATGTAGTCGAAAAGGTATAATACAGGAATAGCATTTGAAGCATCCCTTTTGACGTTTTTGGTGCTGAAACCCATGAGCACCCAGAAGTGCCAAGAAGACCTCTGAGCTTTTGCAGCTGGCCCTGCACCCTGGGTGGGGGTGGGGGCTCACCTATGTATTGCTGGTGGTGCTGGCTCTGGGCGGCCATGGCCTGCTCAGGCGTGCTGTGTGGGCTGCTGTGAGAGCCACTGTCCCCAAGGCTGTCCGTCTTCTGGGCTGGCCGGTACCTGGGCAGGGGACACATGTGCCGCCATGAGGCCCCAGAAGGGGCCCAAGAAGCAGAGGGCTGAGCAGGATTTGGTGTGTGTGTGTGTGTGTGTGTACAAGTGTGTGTGTGTACAGTTTTTTTTTAAGTTATGGTCAAATATAACTAACACAAATTTACCATCTTAACCATTTTTTTTTTGTCCATGGCTCAGTGGCATTAAGTATATCTACAACCATGCTCACCATCCACCTCTAGAAGTTTCTCATGTTCCCAAGGTGGAACTCTGCCCCCCGCTAAACACTAAACCTGACCCCTTACTCCAATCCCTGGCACCCACCATCATCCACTTCCTATCCCCCGAGGGATACTGTGAGAGGGCAGTGAGGGTATTTGGAGAGGTAAGTGGGGTTGGGAGCACCCTTCCTATGGAAGGTGGGGGCCAGGCTTCCAGAGAGCAGAAATGCTGCTCAGATGTGTGTGGTTCTCAACGTAAATGATTTAAACCTATGGCTGAAAAATATGTGCAACAGCTCCTGAAATAACACAGTGCCTGGCGTATAGGGCCACAGATGTTTGCAGAGGCTGAAAACCATCAACAACGATGAGAAGCTATAGCGTCCATGTCTGGATAGGATGGACTGTGGGGTCCCAGAGAATGTTCTGGAAAGCCTGCTGTGATTGCCAACTCCCGAGATTAGTCATTGGTTGGAGTCACTGGAATATTTTAGAGTGCCCAAAATGGGGTTTTGAGCTACAAGACCCGTGGGGCATGCAGGTGCCACGTGGGAGGTTAACCAGGTAGTCCCTGCCTTAGAACCGGGGGGAGGGGAAGCTGGGGGGTGATGGAGTCCCAGTGGAGAGCATCTGGCCTGCAAAACCTGGACTATTTGCTCTCTGGCTCCTTACAGAAAAAGTTTGCTGACTCCTGCCTTAAAATATGGGTAGCTTTGTGAGGGATATAGAGGAGAATATTCCAGAAAATGACAAGGCCCTTCAGCTATGGGATCAAAAGATTGAGAAGCAGCAGCTACTTAAGTTTATCAGTTTCTTTCTCCTGGCTCCTTGGGTTACTTTTGGTGTTCATATGTTTCCTGAAAATTAAAGATCTGTGATTCTAACTCTGACATTCTGGAAAATGCAAAACTATGGAGACAGCGAAAGGATCCGTGGCTGCTAGGGGTTGGATGGGTGGGAAGGAGGGCACACAGACGACTTTTAGGCAAGTGAAACCCTTCTGTATGATGTGGTAATGGTGGGTACGTGTCATTACACATCTGTCCAAACCCTTAGCATGAACACCACTGAGAGTGATCCCTGATGTCAACCCTGGACTCTGGGAGATAATGACGTGTCAGGACAAGTGCATCCATGGTAACAAAGACACCAGTCTGGTGCCATGTTGATAATGCAGGAGGCTGTGCAGGTGGAGTAGAGTATATGGGAAATCTCTATACTAGCCCTCAATTTTGCTGTGAACCTAAAACTGCTCTGAAAAATAAAGTATTTTTTCAGAGAAAGTTCTGGAATCTCTATTAGCTGGAGGAGGTTGTATTCCCAGCTTGCCATCTATTGATGGTCTCACTTCTCACCAAGTAAAGGGGGTCCCCCAGAACCTCCATGCAGGAGGTTGGGGTTAATAAACACAGTTTTTCTCCACTGTAGGATGGGGCGGCCCCTTGTACGTATTTACTTTAGTCCTCACTTAATGTCATCGATAGGTTCTTGGAAACTGCAACTTGAAGTTGGGTCTTCAAATAATGTTTCGGTCAATGTTGGCCGGGATTATTTTTACTCAACATTGTACAAAATGGTGTTGAATAAAATGATGATGTTAGTCAAAAACCTGCCACCATATTTATTGCCTCTACATTCTCCCAAGGGAAACCCGGGCGCTGGGGCCCTTAGTGGAGTCGGCACTCAGGCCCAGGCCACCAACCTGGGCTTCTGGTGCATGGGCTGCTGCCGCATGGCCATGTACTGCGTGTCCTCCTGCAGCCGGTTCAGGGGGGAGTCTGGCTTCAGACGGATCCCATAGTAATGATACTTCGAGTTGCCCCTGAAACCAAACAGCCCAGGATCAGCTCTGAGTGATGGGACAGGAGATTTGCCTTAGCCCTATGTTTTGGGGTCTCCTTAAACTGAGTGGGAAATGATCACAGGCTGTTTCGTGGTCAAAGAGGTCAAGGAAACCCTACAACACACCCTCCTGAATCTGGAAAAGGTGCTCAGAAGCTCTGCAGTGAGAAGCCAGCTCAGTGCTTGAACCCAGCAGGACCCTGTGGTCATCATCACCATCAGCGCTATAGTCCGTGCCACATCGAGACACTGTGGTCACTCACAGGCTGGTCGTCCCAACGAGCCCCAGCATGTTGCCCTGGTGTGTGGCAGGCCGTGCCAGCCAGGCTTGTGGAATGACACGCTGTGACGTTTGCACAAGGATGAAATTGCCCAACGGGGCATGTCTCGAATGAGTCCCCACGGATAAGCAGTGAGTGGCCGTAGGGATCCTCTCCCAATAATCTCATAACACATTTTGGAAATAGCACAGTTCGGGAAACGGGACCTTAACTGACTATAGGAGAAATGTGATCAAAAGGCTTTAAACAGTTCAGCAGAGCGAACACGTTGGGGACGGCCCCCAGGAAAGGAGCGCGCTGAAGGACAGACACGGCCGTCCAGACATCCTGGCTCATAGAGCCAGTGCTCCAGAGCTGACAACAGGGCAAGTGGGAGGAGCTGGGGCCCTTCTAGACTCCATATGCACTCAGCCTGCAGCTAGGAGGAAGGAGAGGGGGGAGGGAGACCCTAATCCTGAAGCCAGCATCCTGGACATGCCACAGGTGGAAGCCAGGCACGAGCCTTCTGCAGAGGCTCCAAAGGCAGCGGAGCCTGTGTCCTCAGAGGAGGCCCCCCTGCTTTCTCCCCTTCTCCCCCTCCTTTAGTGTCTTCATTCTGTGAGACGTTCTCTCTGAAGGCCCAGCAGTGATGGAGAATAAGCAAAGGCTTGGGGGTTCTCTTGGCTCTACTGCCATGGCATTTAGTCAGCCAGCACGGCCGCCTGAGCGTGCCCGCGTGAACACTGACGCTTGCTTGTGTGCAGCCGGAAGCGGCGCTGAGACTGGCCGCCCACGCCCCTGCCATGGTCAGAACGGCCCCTGTGCCCCGACTATCCACTTTTCAGTGGAAATGTTTCAAGACCCCCAGAGGAAGCCTGAAACCACAAATTATGACAAATCCCATGCATACAGTCATGCCCTGCACAGAGACATTTTGGTCAACATGGTCCGCATATACGACGGGTGTGCCAACAGCCTGCACCCCGAGCCTGGGCGTGCTGTGGGCTAGAGTGCCAGGCTGGTGTCTTCACGCTCTATGCTGTTTGCACAGATTAGAAACGTGATGAAACGTTTCTTAGAATGCGTCCCTTGTTACCCATGCATGGCTGTGCTGTTTCTTCCCAAACGTACATACTCATGATAAAGGTGAAAATTTTAAATTAGCGACAATAAGAGATTAACAACATTAACTAATGATACAAAATAGAACAATTATAATATACTGTAGTAAAAGTTATCTCGCCCAAAATATCTTAATGTATGTAGTATTTCTGGATCATGGTTGATGGCAGGTAAGTGAAACTGCTGCAAGTGAAACTTTGGATGAGGGCGGGCAGGCTAAAGGAAGAGGGAGGACAGTGGGCGAAAGGGGTCGTGGCATGCCCATCTGCCCACCTGGTGCCCAGGCGCCGTGTCCTCAGGCCCATGAACACGGAGCGGATCAGCTTCCCAAAGGAGGCGGCATTCACGGGGTCCAGCTTGTGCTCCTGGCAGTGCCGAAGGTAATGGTTGTAAAGAGAGCTTCTGGGGAGACTCACGCCTTCAGCAGTTTCGTAATTATCTAACAGCCACTGGAGCTGGGGAGAGAGACACGTGCGTCGTCACACCGACTGCACCTCGACAAACATGCCTTGAAACAAAACAAAAACCGCACGTGCACTCATCAGGGCAACCACATGCTTTGCCCTTCACTAACGCGGTGCAGAAATTCATCTCTATGTCACAGATTTGAATTCGCGAGTCTGAGCACATGAATTAATACCTTCTTTTCACTTGCTCATTTATCCCTTCAAATTTCAGCCTGTGTGTCAAGGTTGCTTGACATGAGTTAGGAAAACCTGCATGTGAATGAGACCTCTTAGGTCCTGTCTTCATCATCACCTACATACCCACAGACCCCGCATGTCGTAGAAACACTGAACGTCTTCTAAACCTGTAAGAGGGAGGCTGATTCCGATACATGGAGAAACAGGAAGGCGAGAGAAATCTCGATGGCACCCACCGGCACTTGCCTGAGTTAAGCTGTGACGATGAGCAGATGGACTAAAACTGAGGTCCTGAACTGAGAGACGTAAGAACGGACACTGAATGCGCGTGGAAGTCTGTGCACAGGGTTTTGTGCTAGGGCAAAAGGCAGGCTACAAGTACCCAAAGGCGAAGTCTCTGTCCTCCAGAGGTCAGCATCAAGAGGCTAGGGACGGCTCACATGAACAGGCAAGCCCCACATGGGGCACAGTGCAGAGGAGCCCCTGAGGAGCATGGAGAAAGGCGGGTGCCATGTGCACGGGAAGGAGGCCTAAGAGGACCGCCCTGCATGAGGAGAGCTGAGGAGTCAGGTGGTCTAAGGCACAATCCCTGTTTTTGAAGGGCTCCCCATTATTGGGCCCTTCTGAGCTACGACCCCCTGTCATCCTGCAGGCCCCCAGTCTGCATATGTTACCCCATCCTGACTTACCACACGAGCTGGGATGTTGGCCTGCATCTCCCTTTAAATAACAGTTTTACTATGGAAAGGTTCTAACGTGCACAGATAGAGAAAGTTAAAGGACTCCTGCTTCAACACCATCAACTCAGGCCTAAGTTTATTTCATCGAAGCCCCCTCCATTCCTCTTGCCTATCTGGGGCCATCTTAAATGGAAGCCCTGATATACCTTCATTTCATTCCTGGGGTCTCCCTGCTTTAATGGGGACCTTTGTTCTTACAAGGCAGGTGGTGGGGCCAGTTAGGGTGCAGATGCTGGAAAAATGCAAGTTTCAGGGGCAGGGGATGGACAATGGCCGAGTGTGTGATATTATAGGTGAGGGAGCAGGTCTGATTCAGGAGAAGGGATACCTGCAGGGCTGGCATAGACAGACACCAGGTATCAGGAAGAGCTAAGGTAACAGGTTTTGCTTTGAAAGGCGGAGTTAAGCACTGGGTGGGTGTATGTTCAGGGCAGGGGTTAGGATCTGATGGGATAATTTGTCACTGAAGAGCCAAGGACAGGGGCTTGGAGGGGAGGGTAGAGAGGTCCTGGGGAACATTTTTCATACATGGGCATGCCCACATGCAGCGGTTGAGGAGGAAGAGGGGTGTGTGGCCTAAAACCGAGGCCCAATGTTATGTGCTGCCTGACACGGGGAGAATGTCAGGAGCAGCTCCCCCTCCCACTTTGGCCCCGCAGAGGAGTCCTCAGCCATACACCTTCCTTGGTGAGGGGACTGGGTGCAGCTCCTGCATATCCCTGAGTAGAGGTTTGGTTGAATGGGGGCCACCAACCCCTCTTGTTACTACAAAGCTGGGTCCCACGCTAAGGTCCTGTTGTGGGCTCTGTCCTCAAGTGTGCCCCCGTGTGGCCCCTGCACTCATGGCAGGGAGTGTGACCAAGAAGTGATGTGGGCGCACCTGTCCAGTGTCAGATGTCACATGATCAACCATAACTTTGGGGCAGGACTCCTGCCTGCATCCATTAAAACAGGAAGACAGGATGCAGCCAGCGAGGAGAGGAGCAGAGGTCAAGGGCACAGGGGCCTGGGGAGGACAGTCATGTGCACAAGGTCAAGGGAAATAAGAAATGACTCTGGAAAGAGACTCCCTCTTTTTCAATTGCCCCTTTAGGAAAAGAACATATTTTTCACTTTCCATCAAGCCATTCAGAACTTTATACTTTTCAAACTTTTCTTAAATGTACTTTCTCTTTTTTTCCTGACAAAGGTGGCAGAGCCCCCCCCCCCATCCCCTTGTCAAAGTTCTGCTCTGGCCCACAGAAGCTTGGCCCCTTAGAAGCTATCTTCTTGGTTCTCCCTTGGCCTTGATATATCTCTCCAAGCTTGCACCCCTGGGATCTTAAAGGTGCCCCAAGAAACACTGACTGAGAGAAAGGGTCCTGAAGAGCAGGGGGAGGGGCCAGCATGTGGGAGCTGAGAGCTATGGGGTGTAAGAGCTGCAGACTTTTCTTCTCTCTTTGCTACCTGGGACTGGGAGAGCACAGGGTGCTGGGTCCTAGGGAGAAGTCAGGGTACGAGAGCCAAGTGGTCACACGTTCTCAGGCATGGAGGTGAGGCCAGACTCTGTGGGTGGTGGACTGGCGGGGGCTCTGGGTCAGGAGTCCCGAGAAATGGAGGCTACGGTGGCTCACACTTCGGACACCACTGGTGCACTTGTTAATGGAAAGAAAAAGTTTGGAAAGATTCGCGCGGGTTTATCACCCCAGCTCTGTTATTTAAATGAAAAGCAGGATTGGGGCAATTATGTTGACCTTGACAACAGCAGCACCATGCCAGGGAGGCGTGGTTACTGTCCTCCCCGGTAGAAGTAGTGAGGAGACAACGGACACCACTAGCAGTCTCCGAAGAGTCACTGGTTACACCGCCTGTCTCCTACGCACTGAGCGATCCAGAAGGGAAACTGACTAGGGCTGGATGAAGATCAAGCTCTAAATCTCCCCGTGGGCTGGGAGTGACGCCAGAGTCTGCTGCTGGGGTTATGCCTGATACAGAATAAGCGACCGTTAGTGAAACTGAACTAAACTCAAGGTTCCTGTCTCTCCCTACCTCGTTCACTGCAAATCATCTAACCTCTCAGGATCCATGAATCTTCTTGCAAGGAAAGGTGGACAGCTGGACAAGATTTTCAGTTTTGGGTTACTCTGCAGTAAGCTTTGTTTGCTTTATTTCTAGGTCAACTTCAAACATGAATCAAGAGAACTCTTTCAGTAAAAAGTATGTTTTTATCTGCACTTGTGATCTGTCAGGATTGCACTTTTCTTGATGAAACAGATCAAATCCTCCCTTTTAAAGAAAATGAAACAAACCTGTAGTTCTGGGTTCCTCAGGGGACGACAAATTGGAAGGGGGTGTGTCACGAGTCTGAATCCATGCCCACTGGCCTATCCCTGGTTGTCCTTTAGGGTACTGTTCTACAATTTGGGGCAGATCTGTCTGGCAGTGGCCCCTGGTTACTGGTGGCAGGTTAGCTTCCTGGGTGGAAACTTGGCAACTCTTCTCAGGCCAATGTGTGGATACAACAGAACTTTGATGTCCCCCCACCCATCCTACGTTTATTGAAAGCACCTGTTTCAGGTGTTGAGTCTACAACAGTGAATGAAATGGACAACTCCGGGCCCTCTGGAAGTATCCATTCTTGTGGGGGAGAGAATCACAATCAATAAATGCAATGCCCAGAATGAGAGATGGTGTTAAGTGCTCTGAGGAAAACCCAGGCTCACTGAGTGGTGAGTACAAACCAAAGGAGGGAGGAAGGCTTGTGTGTTTCAGCTCAAGGGAGGCTGGGGGCCTTCACAGGAATCCTTGGCACAAGCCTGCCTGGTACCCAAACCAGGATGTTTCCAATCCCCTGTGCAAGCCTCTTCCTCCTTTCCTCCTTCCTCTGAAACCACCATTCCTGTTTTCATGTCACCAAATCATACTCTTCCCAATTTTAAACTGCTTGAGGCCTTCCTCCTCCTGCGGGGCTTTCCAATCCAGGCTGGAAGAAACCCACAGTCCCCTGGGTCTGAGTCTCTTGAGGACAGCTTTAGAAGCTCTAGGGTGACCCAGATGTCGGCCAGCTTGCCCGGGCTCTGGACTGCCCACCCTAAGGCAGCGCTGCAGAAGGAAACTTACTTCACGGTGCACAATGACTAGTTCTAGCTGCCAGCCCACTGGGTTCCTTGTGCATTTAGGTTTGATCTTGGCTCATTTTCTCACACCTGCTGAGTTTCTGCCCTCAAATTCCAAGACCCCTGGAGTGTCTTGTTCTTGCTCTTTTTGCTCTCTAGGTGCAACACGGATGTGGCAACAGAGCCTTTCTATTTCTAGAAAGGGGATCTGGGAGCCCACCAGGGAATAGGCCTGCAGGATGCAGCTCCCAACCAGGTCATCTGGGCTGACAAAGGGGGCAGGGTGGTGGTGATGGTGCCCAGCACTTGACCAGCTCTGCTGTGGGCAGCGCCCGTGACAACCCTTGATGTGCAGGGCGCATGCCTACAAACACACCCCCCATCCGTCATGTCGGTCTTTTAAATGCTCCCCTTGCTGGCTTTCACATCTGCCAAGACTAGATCCAGGCGGATTTTACTCCAGTGTGTGTAAAAGACCCTATCTTTAGAAAGATTTGAACTCTACTCTGGGACCCTAAGTCACCAAGCCCGACACCCTACTTCTCAGAGCTCTAGATGGAAGCAATACAGTAACAGGTCACAAGGGAGGAAACAGACACAAGGAAATCCGTCCCTCTGGGTGAGTAAACTCAGGAGTGTAAACTGGAAGGGAAGCAACCAAAGAAAGTCTGCCTTCCAAATGAAAGGTGTTAGAAAGCCAGAAGCGACCCCGCAGCCAGAGACAAGCAGTTCATGCATTTTCCCATAGACATTTTCAATTTTCTGCAGTCACACTGCTGCCTGGGGTTTGGGCGATGTACCTGCCTCTCACTGCACTCCCCCCTGCCGACCCAGAGCCTGGCCCCACAAGTTGTCTTTCGAGCTAAAGGAAGACTGGTCCCTGTCCCCTGCAGGCTTTTCTACCCTGTGTGTTTGAGGTTAAGACTTCTTCCCAAACACACACTGGAGATTATCCCCTTCCCGCAGGCCCCCACAGGGTCATTTTCCAGCAGTGATGGAGCATAGGGCCAAGACCCACCTAGCCAGGAGGGGGCAGGGCACCCGGCAGGTTCTGATGTGCTTTAGTCTCTTGTTTCATGACAACCAGAGTGAGGCTGCTAAGCGCAGGGTCCTCCCCACGTGTGCCTTGAGCAGTGGACCACACCTGTGCCTGACCCAGGATTCCAGAAGTTTATGGACCTCTTTCTAGCTGGCTTCTGCTCCCTGCCTCCCGGATCACTGTCTTGAGAGTAGCCCCTCCCCTGCATATATGAAAGTTTTGATGAGTCAGTTGGGTTAGTGTTTGAATACAAGGGACTTCTTTTTCTTTGATGCTTTAATTCTCCAGAGAAAGTCAAAGCAACTGCTCAGAAGCACATTCTGGCTTTCAAAATGCCAAACACATGGCTGGTTCTATGTAAAGCCAAACTGAGGGTATGAAGGGGAGAAGTCAAGTGTGTTGGGGAAGTACGAAGAGACCAGTCTCTGGAAAGACAGACTTTTATCTGGCCCCCTCGCTGGTCCTGTCCTGCCCCACAGCTGCCCAGAGACAAGGATCTTTTCACCCTCCAAGCATGGGACCAACGACCGTGGTTTCCCCATGAGGCATGTGAAGGAGAAAAATTTTATGCCACTAGAGTTAGTAGGAATTAGTGGCTTCGCACTTTTCTTAAATTACCATTCTTTTTCAATGAACTGAAAAAAAAAAAAAAAACAAACTAAGACTCTTTATGGCATCCTCAATGCTGGGTTTTGTTTTTTTTTTTCTTATTTGGGGATTACTCATAATGTTTATTATTTGCGAGGTATTGTTGGGCATATGTACACAAATTAAGTAATCAAATCCCCATAACCACCGGAAGAGACAGGTGCTATTATTATATTATTATCTTCCTTTATGGATAAAGAACTTATCTTAATTTCCCCTTCATTGCTGAAGGGGTATTTTTGCTAGATGTAGATTTCTAGGCTGGTTTTCCTGCCTTTCCATACTTTAAACGTGTTATTCATCATCTTCATTTGTTTTTAAAATGCCTACGAAGGTTATGAGTGCAGCTGGGATACTGCCAGTCGTACACGCACTTACATGGCTGTTGAGTAAACCGCTTTTGTGTGATGTGATCCCTTCGCTTTTTTGGAGGTTTTCAATCGCCATTTCAAGCTAAAGAAAATGTGTGCAGAACAAAACAAAATAGAAAAAAAAAGGAAATAAGATGGTTAGCATCAGCCAAGATTTGTTTTTATTAATATCCAAATAATGATTCAAGCACCTACAAAATAAAAATGAGGCTTGATGCAGGCAGGGAGGAGATGGGTTAAGTGGTGAGTTAAGCTGTGGCAAGGAGTGTTACTTGATTACATGCAGATGAGCCCAGGAACCCGTCTAACACAAGCAGCAGAATGACGTTAAGTGGTACAACGTGGCTATTCAGTTTTGACACAACATTTGCATGTGCACATGTATGACTTAAACACTTGGTCACTGAATACATGCAAATGTGAGGAAGGCCAGCATAACTGCTCACTGCTCCCTCACACCCATCACCTGTTGTTAGGGAGAATCAGATCGACAGGTCCTAAAGAACAGTTGGTGGTAGTGACTTTGTGACCAGTTTGTTCCATCACAAAGCCCATGGTCTCCCTCCTAGATGCTTCGGGAAAACACCCAAGCCAAAGATCCAGGTCCTGTCGTCAGGAGACACAGGACCCTGGGGCCCCTAAACATGTCACAGAGACACACTCCTGCGTGTTTCCAAGTGAACTTTGCAAAGACAGTGGTATGGAAATGAGGACGGAGTCACAGGGAAAGTCAGGGAGGCCTTCCTGGGGAAGAGGCTTCAGAATCAGGATGTAAGGACCACACAGAGGTGAGGAGCTAGGGTGAGGCAGGTTCTGCAAAGGAAGGGACACCCGGTTGTGTGTGGCCACCATATTTGTTGATGTTGACCTTGACTCGTACATGTAAAAATGGAAATTTAAAAGCTGCAACAGCCCACCACAAGCCATCAGAGAGCTTCAATGGAAGGAAATGAACCTAAAATACATGCTGTCTTTCCTCAAACGCCCAGAGAAGGCAAAGACTTCAGGGACACTTCTGTAAAAAGCAGGTTGAATTTGTATTTTAGAAAGGGCAGCTAAACAAGCTTCCCAGAGCTGAGTTCTAGGGTGAGGGGGTTACTGCTTTGTCTACCATTTCTTTTGACTACTGTTGTGTGTGTCCACTCTCACTACTCTTATGGAGCATTGTATTGGAAGTTATAGACAGGGCAATTAGGCAAAAATAAGAAATAAAAAGCCTTCAAATTGAAAGGAAGAAGTAAAGCTATCTCTATTTGCAGATAACATGATCTTATCTGTAGAAAATCCCAAAGGACTCACAAAATTACCATTAGCACTCATAAATGAATTCCCCAAACAAAACAAAGCCAACATACAAAAATGAATTATTTTCTAAACAATGAACAAAGTGAAAATGAAATTAATAAAACAATTTATAATAGCATGAAAGAGAATAAAATGCCTAGGGAAATGTATTTTAACCAAGGAAGTAAAATACCAGTACACAGAAAAGTACAAAACGTTGTTGAAAGAAACTGAAGAAGAACTAAGCGAACAGAAAGACATCCTATGTGCATGGATTGGAAGATCTAATACTGTTGAGATGGTAATTGCTCTCCAAATTAATCAAGAGACTCAGTGCAATCCCTATCAGAATTCTCTATAAACTTTCAATTGTTTTTTCAGAAATGGACTAGTTGATTCTAAAAGTCATATTGCATTGCAGTATGAATAGTCAAAACAATCGTGAAAGGTAAAGATGAAGTTGGAAAACTCACACTTCTAGATTTCAAAACAGTAAAAAGGTACAGGAACCAAACTAGTGCAGTACTGAGATAAGGACAGACATATATAGATGTATAGACCAATGGAACATAATTGGGAGTCAGAAATAATCCCATACATCTATGATTTCTGACAAGTTGTTAAGATCATTCAATGAAGAAAGAATCAGCTTTTCAACAGGGTGGGAGAACTGGATAGTCACATGCAAAAGAATGCAGTTGGACCTTCACACCATATGCAAAAATCAACTCAAAATGGATCAAAGAACTAAATGTAAGAGCTAAAATTATAAAACTCTTAGAATAAAACATCAGGTGATTATGTAAAATAAAGTTACCTTTAATGATCTTGGATTTGGCGATGGATTATTAGATATGACACCAAAAGCACAAACAACAAAAGATAAAAAAAATTTAAGAAAATAATTGGTCTTCATCAAAATTAATAACTGTACATCCAAGTGTGTGATGCACACTATACTTGTAAGTCATATATCATATATCTGATAACAGTCTAATACTCAGACTACATAAATAAGAACACAACAACAAAAAGACAAATGACCCCATTAAAAATGGGCAAAGAACTTGAATAGACTTGTTTACAACAAGCACATTGAAAAGATGCTCATCATTAATTATTAGGGAAATACAACGCACAACCACAAGATAGTACTTGACATTCATTAGTATGGCTATAAAAAAAAAGGAAAAAAGAAAAATAACAAGTGTTGATGAGGATGTGGAGAAATTGAAAGCTTTGCTCATTGCTTATGGGAATGGAAAATGGTGTGGCTATTGTGGAAAACAATTTGTCAGGTCCTCAAAAAGTTAAACATAAGTCCAGTTAAACTACATGACACGGTAATTCCATTCTTAAGTGGATCCCCAAGGTAATCGAAAACAGGAGCTCACACAAACACTTGTGCACAAATGTTCCTACCAGCATGATTCATAATGGCAAAAAACAGACAAACCCACGTCAGTCACAGATGAATGGATAAACAAAATGTGGTCCATCCATGCAACAGAATATTATTCATCCACAAAAAGGAATGAATTACTAGTACAGTTACAACATGGACGAGCCTTGAAAATGTTAAACTAAGTGAAAGAAGCCAGCCACAAATGGCCACAGATTGTTTGATCCCACTTATGTGAAATGTTCAGAATAGGCAAAAGCCTAGAGATGGAAAGCAAATTGTTGCCAGAGGCCGTAGGAGGAAGGAATGGGAGTAACTGCTAAGTGGCACAGGATTTCCTTTTGGGAAAATGAAAATATTCTGGAACTAGATAGTGAAAATCATTGTACAAACATTGCACTAAATACTAAATGATTAAAAGAGTGCATTTTATGTTATATGTATTTGACTTCAATAAAGACATTTAATTAATTTATAAATCTATCCATCTTTCTTTCAATTTGAATGAATCTTTCACCTCTGTGCATGGTATTGTAACATCATGCACTGGCCACTTTAAAAATACAGGTTCACCGAGTTTGCGTATCTTCCAAATGTTGGTGCATTTCATTATACTGAAAATCACATTTGTTATATCACTAGCAATCCCATTGGAAAAATACGAGTTGTTAAAGTTCAATCTTTTAGGGGTTGAAAATGTACTGGCAACAAAATCTCAGTTGTTGTCCTGGAAACATCAGGCTCACACCATTCATTTTTGAGAAAATATCTGCCAAATCTACAAGTCTGAATAATCATAATTTATCTGTCATTCTTTTGAACAAGAACAGTGTTTCATGAAAAGTGGCTAATTTTGTTGACAACTACTTTCCACCCTAGCTTCTCTTCAAGTCATGATACAAATGGCAGGTTTTTGTCATGCAGAATATTAAAAAGATGTGTACTCAAGGATTGAGATTTAGTACAATTCATTTTTGCTGCCTCATCAAGAACATTTGTGAGTGAAACTGACATTTGGTATTTCTCTTTTTCTTTTTCATCATGAGAGCATGATGGTGTCGACGACAGTGACTGTAGGAGAATTTGATGCCGTGACCTTGATCAGCATTGGCTATTTCAACCATCATGATGCTGCACTATCAGTGCAAACGACAGCCTAGAGAAAATGACAACCCATGGCTTAGTACAGTGAGTCCTCAAATAAGTAATTTCCTCCCATGTCCTTTTGTTATAACATTGATGAGGAAGAGAAAATATCCTGGCCATCACGGTAGAAAATGTGGAGGACCTGGTTTCATTATTCACCATTTCCTTAAAGTTTCAGCTTCCAAAAGCCTATCGACTACTTTAAGTGAGGTCTTACCATATCATTATGAAGATAGTTTTAGCCTTGTGGAGCACCTGAAAAGGGACACCCTGAGGTGTGTGGGATGGATTCATAAAAATTGCGTTGATTTGAGTATTATAGGAAAAGAATACAAATTAAGACTTGCTGTTTAAGATGATCAGAAAACCTCATGGGTTCTGAAGAAGCCCACTGATACAGAAAATTAATTTAATACATAGTGGAACCTCCCAAGATGTTCACTGTGTTTTAAAATCAAGATGTCAGGTAGACATCTGAAGGTGATAAAGGTTGGAAACACTATCAGCTCCTGAAGGCCAGGTGCAGAGGACAAGGCCAGGAGTCAGGACCGAAGGCACAGCAGGCCATCTCGCTCACAAACTTGGAATTTCTGGGGCTTCCTTACATGCCTGGTCCAGTGATTCTTCCAGCGCAAGGCCCTATGCCTCCATCAGCCCACTGTGGCTATCTTTCGGAGTCAGTTCTTACAGATTGGGAATTGGCAAATGTTTTCCCTAAAGGGACAGGTAGTAAATGTTTGGGGCTTTATGGACCAGAAGGTCTCTGTCACAAATGCCCTTGATGTTGGAGAGCAGCTACAGATGCTGTATGAATGAGTGGGCATGGCTGCATGCCAATAAAACCTCATGGACAAAAACATGCAGCTGGCTGGATTTGACAGAAGGGAAGCTACCTGTTGCCTGTGCCCTATAATTCTAAGTAACTGTGAGTTGCTCATAGAATTACACTGTACAGATGTGTCAGACTTTATTGTGAAACTAATTTTTAGAATCTTATAGGTCTAGAAGCAACACCTCATTCATGAACGTATGTATTAAATGCCACTGTTTTACTTAAAATGATGAATTTTGCTGTATAAAATTTTACAATAAAAATGATAAGGTAAACCATACACATGGTTTAAATATTCAAATAGAAGAAAAAGGTATATTAAAAAATCAAGTCTTTCTCTTTTCTTGTCTTTTTGATTTCACGGAAGTGATCTTTTCTTTGGTAATCATTTTAACAGCTGGGTTGTTTAGTTCTTTTTGTAGTTCCTAAATGCTTAAATAATATAGTTCAATTTTTTTAATTTATCAATTAACTTTTGAAAAACTTTTCATTTTGAAGTAATTTCAGACTTACATAAAAATTACAAAAAAGAAGCACAAAGAAAACCAGTATCACCTGGAACCAGGCTCCCCAAATGCTACCATCCCATGGGACCTCAGTGCCAGGATCCAGATCTGGAAATGAACCCTTGACAACACTATTAACCAACCTTATTAGAGGCCTTATTAGAATGTGATATTAAGGCCTTATTAGAACGTGATAAATCACCCCACTGGCATCCTATTCTGGACCAGGATCCAACCCAACATGATGCTGAGCTCGCTCTGCATGCATAGTCTCCGAAGAAAGTATCAGGAACAAAGGGCAGCTGAATAGCAGAAGGGAGTTTATTAGATCAACAGCCCATTTGCCCACAGTTGCAAGTGATACATGAAACAGGTTTGTCACTCTGAACAGGAACAAGGACGACTTCCATGGTAATGTTATTGGGACTTTTCAGAATAAGCCCAAACTATTTTCCAATATGACATTCTTTAATTCTGTCACTAAAGGCAGAACAGAGACTGAAATTTCAGGTGCATCTTTCAAGGGGCTGAATAAACACAGACACTGCTCTCACCTATGCAAGGAAACTTGCTAATGACATTTTAACCAGAAATACTCAGGAAAATGTGTCACCAAAAGTACAAAATCACTCCTTGAGTTTGTGAGGTGGGTCTTCAACTCTGGTCTTCATGCTCTTCTTTTAGGATTAATTACAAAATCCCCAAACTCTGACATAAAAAACCTGGCAGATGTCAAACATCAGATGCAGGAGCCATATTTTATTTCTGTTGCAATCTCATGGCCATTTCCGTTCCTGACTCGTGGGAAGTCCCTCAGATCTTGGTAGAATATTTGTCAGATGTCCCCATGCCAAAACAAGGCAAACACAGCAGTAGGAGGTCAGCAATCAGATTCTTATGAGATAATTCCCTCGGAGCTATCAGTGGGGTGAGGGGTGTGAAAAAAACAGCTTATTTGTGGATTTCCAATCAATTAAAAAACTCAATTCTTCCAAAGCAGCCCAGATGACAGGCCACAGGCACCTATGGCCTGGGGTCAGAGCTGCACATTTACTTACAATGAGATGAGGTGGACCATGGAGAACACTGCCATTTTCAGTAAATTTGTCCCCTTTGATTCTAGTATATTTTACTATTATTAATGGATGCACTCTGCTAACATTGAACCTTATTAACATATTCATGAAATTTAATCAGTCTGTTGAGAACATTTTCTGATCAATTACTGCTCTAAATGTAGGTTCCCCAGTAAATCCTCTGAAGAGGAAGCATTTTGATGTCCTGGGTGCCCCAGCCTTGGTGTACAGATGGCACTAATGGGACTAAGAGAGGTGAGGTCCAAGCTGGTGCACCTGGGGTAGAGCTGCAGGTGCTGTCCCATGCTGTCATGGCCTCTAGAAAGCGAGTGACTTCTCTCTAAGCCTGCCCTCAGAGCCCATCCTAGAGAGCACTCTGGGCATAGAGAAAGGGCAATAAGGGGCCCTTATCTGATGTCAGGTGACCCCAAAACACATGCAGAGAACAGGGACGAGGCTAGAATATCACTTTCTATTTCAGACTAGTCCCACACCAAATTAGAAGTTATTTTCTAATTGACAGTCAATTAATGTAATCCATCTTATTAACAGTCTAAAGAAGAAAAACACATGATTACAGAAAGAAAGAAAGAGCATTTGACAAGACTCAACATGTACTTAGGACAAAGATTCTCAGAACTAGGAATAGAAGGAACTTCCTCAACCTGAAAAAGGGCTTTTATGAAAACCTCCCGTTATCATCGTACTTAGCAATGAAAATCTGGAGGCTTTCCCCCTAAGACTGAGAGCAAGGCCAAGGTATCTTCTCCTACTGCCACTCCTATTCAACTTCAAGCTGGAAGAACTAGCCAGTGCAAAAAGGAAAAAGAAATAAAAGCCATTCAGACCAGAAAGGAAGAAATAAAATTATTTCTGTTTGCAAGCAACAGAAAAGGTTGCAGGATGTAAGATCAACAGCTAAATGTCATCTGTATTTCCATATGCTAGCAATGAACAACTGGAACCTGAAATTAAAATCAATACCTTTTATAATAACTCCAAAAACACAAGATAAATACTGGGAGGTATAAATCTAACAAAATTAGGTACAAGTTCTGCATACTAAAAATTACAAATGTTGATGAAAGAAATCAAAGAGGAGCTAAGTAAATGGAGAAAACATACCATGTTTATGGATAGAAAACCTAACATAGTGAAAATGTCACATATCCCCAAATTGAGGTACAAGTTGAATGCTATTTAATAAAAATCCTACTGGGAATTTTTTTTATAGATATAGGTAAACTGACCTAATATTTATATAGAAAATTCTAAATTTATGTAAATAGCCAACAAATTAGTGATGAATACAGTGACTTACTCTAAAGCTATGGGAATTAAGACAGTGTGGAATTGGCGAAGAGAGAAAGGGAGAGGCACACAGATCAATGAACAAAACAGAGTATACTGAAATAGTACCACACACACTTGTCCAGTCAATTTTTTACAAAAGTGCAAAAGGAATCAAATGGAGAAAAAGGTTAGTACTTTTAACAAATGATGTTGGAAAAACATGCATAAAAATAGACCTTGATCTAACCATTATATCTTATACAAAAGTGAAGCACAGTTAAATGTAAAGTGTAAAACTATAAAACTTTTCAAATAAAACATAGGAGAAAATCTCATGATCTGGAGTTCTTTGGCACGACACCAAAAGCATCATCCACAAAAGAAAAATTGATAAACTGGATTTGATCAAAATTATAAAAATATTTTGTTTCCTCTGCAAAAGATATTCATGAGAGAATGAAGAGACATGCTAAATAAGACTGGGAGAAAATATTTGCAAATCACATGTCTGACAGGAGGCTTGTATTTAGAATATGTACAGAATTCTCAAGTCAATATGAAGAAAACACATAACCCAGTCAAAAAATAGGCAAATGACATGAACTGATGCTTGACTGAAGAACAGATATAAAAAGAATATAATCACATGGAAAGCTGTTTACCATCACCAGTGAGTAGGAAAAGGCAAATCACAAAAATGAGATATCACTACACACCTATTAGAATGACTAAAATAAAAAATGCTGACAATACTAAGTGCTGACAACAAAGTAGAGCAATAGGAACTCTTATACATCACTGAGGGAGATGGCTGGTGGTTTCTGATAAAGTTAAACACACTTACCATGGGAGTCAGCAGTCCCACTTGTAGGTATTTATTCAAAAGAAAGGAAAATACAAGTACATACAAAAACCTGTATGTGAGTACTTATAGTAGTTTCATTCATGGTCACCAAAACCTGAAAACCACCCAATGGCCCTTATCTGGTGAATGGATAAGCAAACTGTAGTATAATGGAATACTACTCAGTAGTAAAGAAGGAACTACTGGCTCATGCATCAGCTTGAATGGATCTCACAGAAACCATACTGACTGAAAGAATCAGATCTCAAAGATTACCTATTGAATGATTCCACTTATATGACATTCCCAAAAAGTCAAAACCACAGTGACAGAGAATGGATCAGTGGTTGCCGGAGGTTGTGGGTAGGGGAAGGTCATGGTTACAAAGGACTCTCATGAGAGGGGTCTTCAGGGGGGTGTACCCACTCTGAATCCTGAATGTGACTATAGTGACACACATCTATAAGTGTGTTGAAACTCATTGGGCTGTTTACCACAAAAACTCAACTTTACTTGTGTTTATTTAAAAAATTAAACATGGGAAATAGGGCTTTAAAAGGAGATATATTTTCAAGCAGGTAAGTACAGCCATGCGCTGCCCAACAACATGTCAGTCAACAACAGGCTACATATATGGCAGGAGTCCCTACAGGCAGCACCAAGGAGCCTCTGTGTGTAGTGGCTGTACCAGTCTGGTTTGTGTGATTACACCATGTGAAGTTTGTCCAATGATGAAATCACCTGATGATGTGTTTGTCACGAGGTAATGTGTGACTTATAACTGCCTTGGCTGGGAGCATGGCAGTTATGATTTGATACCTCTCTAAAGGGAAATATCCTCTTGTACAGTTCACTGTAGTTTTCATATGGATGGACTGCATGCCTTTATGCGACTGATAAAAATGATGGTGGTACCAAGGACAACACCAGTTGCAGCTGTAGCATCACTCAGCATAGAGATGCTTTATTCCCAAGAGCCCTCTCTTTTTACCACTGGAGGAATTGAGGTCCAAAGAGATTTGCCTTGGGTCACACCACCCCACTGAAGCTGGCAGGGCTCCAGGCTGCCTTCTACTCACCATCCCTGTTGCTGTGGAGTCTACTGTGGGTCTAACCTGCTGCCCCCAGGAGCCTCGTACATACCGTAGCTGGTGATGACCGGGAAGTGTGGGCCAGGGAGTGTCTGGTGCTGTCCATCCCCCCGTGGATGAGATAGGCTCCAGCGCTGGAGACGATGGGGCTCCCTCCAACATCCATGGTGATGCCCACCATGCTGTGGGAGGGGACTGCGGGTGGGGAGGAGCCTGCCACAGTCACCTGGGCATTGCCCGGGGCCTCAAAGTAAGAAGCTGCGCTGCTGGGGGCATACATCTGAGGCTCGGGGTTGTAGGTGTAGGCCGTCCGTCTGTCAGAAAGAAAGAAAGTACCTCCTCTGAGTCTCCAAGGAATCCAGCAGAGCTTCATGTAGAAGCTGCAGCCCCAAGACACTATGCATCTGGGGCAAGTTAGCCTTGAAACACCCAGACAATGCAACGTCCAGGTGATCATCTCTGATATGTTCAGGGCTGCAGGCTGACTCATGGAGAACTAATCTTTAAAAATTTCCAAGTGTATAAAGGGGTCACCTGGGGGAGCTCCTTTGTGGAGAGGGAACACTTTCGTATCTTATGGTGGCTACATGAAATCCACACATGGGATAAAACTGCACACACACAGCATACATGCACACATGGTCACAGAGATGTGTAAGGACTGGCTAAACGAATAAGGCCAGTAGATAGTTAACATACTGTCCTGATGTCAATTTCCTGGTTTTGATATTGTCCTACAGTCACAGGAGATGTCACCACTGAGAGAGCCTGAGTGAGGGACACACGGGACTCTGGATGCTAAGCCTGTAGCTCCTTGTGAGTCTGATTCTTTCAAAACAAAAAGTTTTTAAAAAGTGAATAATAAAAAGAGTTTCTAAGGGATACCAAAAAATTTGTTTAATACAGGCATACCTTGGAGATATGGGCTCAGTTCTAGGCCACTGCAATAAAGCGAATATGGCCATACAGCAAGTCACACCCATGTTTGGGTTTCCCAGGGCATATAAAAGTTATGTTGACTCTCAATTGCAGTCTGTGAAGTGTACAATAGCACTAGATCTCAAAAAAAAAAAAAAAAACAAACAACTGAACAAAACAATAACCCAACCTACATGCCTTAATTAAAAGTGATACAGAGGGCCTCCCTGGTGGTGCAGCGGTTGAGCGCTGGGCTGCGAAGCTGCCTGCAGCCTCTGCAGCACGGGTTTGATCCCTGGCCACCGACGAGGGTCCCACATGGCACGCAGACCTCTGCTGCTGCGCCCGCTGCTCCCCTCAGCAGTGTACTTCGGTCCTTCTGCCTGTTCTGGCTCTGGTGAATTCTCTCACCCTCCTGTGCTTCTGACTGTACCCAGTGCTTATATAAATAAATAAATAAATAAATAAATAAATAAATAAATCTTTAAAAAAAAAAAAAAGTGATACAGAGCAAGGAAGTGAGCACAGGCCGTTGGGAAAATGGCAAGAAAGCAAAGTACAATAAAGTAAAGTATGTCTGTATTCCTTCAACATCTGGATCAAAGGCTGTGTTAGAGTTGGTTTTTCCTTAGTGGTAACTAAAGGTTAGTGACATGTCCTGAGGGAAGGGCCCTCTGGGTGGCCTGAGGCGTCTGGGAGGCAGCACTCCTGTCCTGTCCCTGAGGTGACAGCCTGTGTAGCTGCAGTATAATCAAACCCAGGAAGCAGATGCATATCGACCTTGCCTTGTGTGTGTGTGTATGAGTGTGTGCATGCTATAACTGTCCATGTTGTGTTATAGAAACTCACACAACTACAGCAATCACAACTTTTAAAACCACAACCAAACCCACATGCCCAATCCCTGAACTTCTGAAGGGGCGGTCATTGAAGCCAAACAAAAACCAGGACTCCTATCTCAACTACCATGAACTTCATGAGGAATGTATCACTTTTTGCCCAAGCATCATAGAAAAGGAAGGAACTCTAGAAGTCCTTGACAAACTGAAAATCCCCTTTTATCAACATCCTAAAAAATAGAGATTAACAAAGATCAGAGTGAAAAAGCAGAGATGAATTTTCAAATTTAGAAGTTGGATTAGGGTTTTTGATTTTTTTAAGGCTACCTTTTCTAGAAGTAAAAATGGTCTGTGATTACTGAAATCTCCACAAGGGTGTGATGTCCTACCACCATTTTAGTAGTTCCAACATATCCCCCAAAGGAGAAGGGAGAAGAATTTGTGCAAACACAACCGCAAATGAACAAAGGGGGGAGAAAGTGAAAGAAGGTTCTGGATGTGGCCTATAGGTCTCTGTGAGGATTCTTTCTGAGGGGAGAGGAAACCAACGTACAAGGCTCCATTTGTGTAGACGGCGTCGCCCCCTTCCACATACTGTACTTGAGGGGGGTACACGTGCTGCACGGGCTGGACCTGAAACAACATCAGATATTCCGGGTTACACACAGTTGTTTTCTTGTTCATGATTTTCGGGTTATTCGAGATGGAAATATTTTCTATCTCCTGTTCTGAACATACCTCATGTCATCACACCTTTCCTACCCACAATTGACCCTTCTAGAAAGAAACTGGGAACCTCAGATGATGACACCTGAGGGACGCTTGCCCTGGTGGTGGAAAGCCCAGAGCTCTAGGGCAGAACTTCAAACTCACCACAGAGGGAACCTTAATAGATGCTTTTGGGGTTTGAATGAAAATCCCACTTTTGGGTTTTGAGAAAATCAAGGGCCAGGTCTCATGGTCTCTCTCTAGCACTTTGTGTGGAGCAGCCAGGGGGGCTGATTCCACCTTGAAGACAACCCAGATGGTGCACAGGGGTACAAAGTCCCCTAGAATAACAAGAGGGCCGTGAGGAGCTCTGTGGTTGATATGCTGGGTGGGGTCTCCAGGGGAGGAAGCAAGCCCAGGATGCTGAGTGAAGTGCAGAAGCCACCCTGAAAGCTGAGATTGCTGGAGGAAAAGAGATGGCCAGGCTCAGCTCCATGAAGAAGCAGCTTCTGGAATTATGACGTTGGCCTGGTAGTGTCCTCCCTGACGTGCTAAGTCAGTCACTGGCTCCCTGCTGGGTCTGCCCGGAGACTGCTTCTCCCTCAGGACTCCAGAAGCCTTCTCCAGTTCTCATCAACATGGCCACCCAACACCACGAAACACTACTAATCTGAGCAGGAGTCCCATGAGAACTCGGCCATCTGCATTTCACTCATGATCCCTTTAAGGCAGGAGCCTGAACTAATTTTAACTAAGCGCCTCACAGAGCACAAGTTGACAACTTTGGCCAGGGGTTCAAATCCAACCCACCCGTTTCTGTGAACAAAATTTTATTGGCACAAGTTGTATACATACACCCCCAGGTGTTTTAGTAAGATGAGGGCACAGTTGAGTGGATGTGCCAGAGACTGGTCAGAAAAGGCTAAAAAAGTCCTCTAGTCGCACACCATTAATGATGGGGACATGTTCTGAGAAATGTGTAGTTGGGCGATTTCATCATTTACAGATATCGGGTGTAATTCTGAGATGGTACAGCCCACTCCACACCTGGGCTCGATGGCGCCACCTGTTGAGACATCTGTCATGTGTGTGGCCCCTCGCTGACTGAAAATGTTGTTGAGCAGCACATGACTGTAATTGGCTTTTTGCAGGAAAGATTTACCAATCACTGTTCTAGATTGTGTTGTTATTTGATCAGTGCGATTGTCTGGCTTGTGAGCCCATGCTTTCAAGTTTGCTCCCAGATACTTCTGTGTTCCTACCCTAGGATCCCACACTCAACTGAAGTGCTGGCTTGCACCCCAAATGCTTGCTGAATTTCTGAATGAATGAAAAGATCACCAGTTTTCTTAGCGCACTGCACAAATATCTGCAGTAAGTTTTTGTTTTTTTTTTAAATATAGCTTCCAAGAAAACCTTCTAGTAAGGAATGGACGATAACACTCAAGAAAGGAACAGCAACGACAGAAAAGGAGCACCTTCAGAGAAGTGCAAGATTGCTAACTGTGGCCCGTCGCCTGTGCTGTTACCTGCTGTGGCACCTGCTGGACCCTGGGGAGGGAGATTGGCTGCATCTGGGCCCCTTTGGGAGCCGACCCCGCTGCCTGGACCAGCACTCTCTAAAAGGAAAGGAGAGGAAGAAGTTAGACTTGTTGGAGATTAGGACTTAAAATGAACCGATCCCAACCAGAGCAACTCAGTGGCTAATCCACGGCATTTAATGAAGACACAGTGGATTGGCAGGAAAGGGCAGGAGGGCATGCGGGTGCACACACGGGCACACACAGAGAGGCCCACACCACCTCCCTCTGGAAGAGTTCTGGGCTTGCCTCCACTTAGCACACAAGGGGAAATGAAGCCCTGAGTGATCAAGTAATGTCCCAGGGCCTCAGAATATAAAGTTCTAGAACCAAGACTCGGGTCCAGGTTCCTAGCCTAGGCCCACTCCTGGACTCCTGGTTCTCTGGGCTCGAGTCTTCACAGTGTGGTTTTGTCATTTTGCTCCGGGTGCTGACTGGACACATGAAGCTATGAGACTGTGAAGCTCAAGAAGTACCCTAGAGGTAAGAGAGGAACAGTCATGTTTTTTTGTTTATTTAAGGTGGGGGTTTTAGAAATCATTGATTACAATTCTGATTTTCTGATGAGGACCCTAAATGATAGTGGTATTGGTGATTCTGCAGTGTTTTGCCTTAAAAACACGACTGTGCAAAGAGACTCCAAAAGGGGCCTGGAGTCCATACTCTGACAACCTAAGACAAAAAGAACACAGATGCTACAAAAATCAACAGGAGGAATGGATAAACAAAATGAGGTCTGTTCACACAGTGGACTGTTACTGGGCCATAAAAAGAAAATTCTGACACACAGTACAACACGGATGTTGTGCTGTGTTGTACCTTGAACACATGGTGCTCAGGGAGAGAAGCCAGACACACAAGGACACACAGTGTTAGTCCACTAATGAGAAACGTCCAGGACAGGCACAGACACAGAGAGTGGATTTGAGGTGCTAGGGGCCAGGGAGGCGGGTGCAGAGGGTCTGCTGATGGGCAAGGACTTCCTTTTGGGGTTGTGGGGTATTATGGAACTAGATAGAGGTGGGCGTTGGACAACACTGTGAATGTATGAAATGCCACTGAATTGTATACTTTAAAATGGTTAATTTTATTTTACGTGAATTTTACTTTAAACAAATAAGAACAATAAGGATTTATATTCATACACTCTAAAGCTGAGCTGTCTGATACAGTAGTAACTAGCTGAATAGCCATGTGGCCATTTACATTTATTTCTATTTAAATAAATGTTAAGATTCAAATCCTCAGGCCCACCAGCCTGAGGTGGGCTATTTCAATGTGTATTTCAATCTCTGGTGTAAATCCAGAATTTGAGAAAGCTTTAACACAAAGATTAAAGATTATTTCTACTCTAATGCTGGATTCAATCTTGATTCAAACTCTAAGAACCCTGACTTACTTTTTGTCTTATCCATAAAGTCCTTCTTCATGGATAAAGAAGAATAAATAAAGGTTCATGGAAACTTCCATTGAAGATAAAAACAGACTAAGTTGGGGTCAGGGAGTGGTTACTTTCTAAGTCTATATTATTGACTCCTTGATGGGACCTCTTTGACAAAGAGTAAAAAAGCAAAATAATGTGACACAGGGGAGACAGAATGAAGGTGTGGCCATGTCAACAGCAGCAGCCTTGGGGCTGAGACGTCAAATCAAGAAAATAAGGCTTTCTCTACTGATTCACGTTTTCAAAACCTGAGGGGGCAGCAGGGCAGGCTGATCTGTCCTGTACCTTCAGGGTGGAGGGTGGTGGTGGTGTCTGCATCGCGTGTGTTGAGGGGGGTGGTATGATACCGAGGGAGACCTGGTCAGTTACCTGTGGGGAGGCTGGCACAGGCTGGGCCACGGGTGCCTGGGCTGCTGCCGAGGGACACAAAGCCACAGAAGCTGGCGAGTCCGATCCACCCTCCGAATTCTGCATGCTCAGCTCTAAAGAAAGGTGGAGAGTGAGTAGGGAAGGGGTGCAATCATGAAGCCCAAAGAGGCGACATCAGACACATACCAGATGGGGGACAGTAATTACCTGCAGGCTTCAAAGTTCAAATACAGGGGCCTGGGCCATACTGGGTAAGTACAGGTGTAAGAGGTTGCCCAATTTTGTCACTGAAAGGGAGGGGAAGAAGGCAGGGGATGTTTTTCCCTTAAAGGCAGCCCTTGCAGTTGTCATCACATGGTGTAGGGATTTCCCAAAGACAGGCCAGACCATTGCTTTCCCTTTTCTAATCAGGTTGAGCTACTCTGAAGGGCTTATACAACTGTTGACTCATTTATCAAACAAACCAAGACCCTTGATGCACGCCTGCCATTTGAGGAGCCACCATACTGCAAACTACTTGTTTTCTCCCAGGGCAGGTCCCCATCCCCTTGATGCTGCTAACAATGGGGCAGGGTCACTCTCTCTATGGGGGACCATCCTGAGCACTGGGGGGTGTGGAGCAGCATCCCTGGCCCCATCCACTCCAAGCCAGAAGCACCCCTTCCCCAAGTCCTGACAACTACAAATATCTTCAGACATTGTTCAAGTCCACTGGGGACAAAATCACCCCCCAGATCAGAACTGTCGGCCTAGAGAGAAAAAAAATTGATAAACAGAAGAAATGGCACGTTTCCTCTGGGGCCGGATAGGACTCCTCAGGAATTTTAGCAGCAAGTGAAATTTGCTTTCTGTTCCTAGAAATCTTTGCCTATAAGGAGGTATAAAAGTATATTTCTTGGCCAGGCAGAGCATACATCTTTCAAAGGGGTAGTTTAAAAATTCTATACAAAAACATCAGAACAAAGTGGCAGATGATAAAAATTCATTCTACGCAAATGCTGAAAATAAACTGTGTTCACTGTTAAACAACCAGCCACCTATAGCACTTTCGAGAAGCAGTGAAATATGAAAACTGCAGGGAGAGGCAGCAGTGGATTTGGGGTCAGGGACCCCATCCTCGGTTTCAGCATGTCACCTCTAGGAGTGGGGTCTCCTGGCTCCTGTCTCATGGGGAGGTCTGAGCAGCTCGGCAATCACCACAGTGGCCGGGACACAGTGCCAGAACTTTTGCATCTATTTCTAACTCCAAGGGCTCCCACATCCAAGAAAGAGCAGGAAGAAAATTAAGACTTTTTTTAATTCAAGGAAAAACTGATATAACGTAGTAATATAGACTCTAATTTGTAATGAAAGACACCTGAAACCTATATAATATTATATACTGCTATTTCAGTAACAAAATATTTTAATTAAAAAATCTTTGTACTATAATAAAACGGATATTTTAATTATTTAATATCGTAAATTATTCAAATATTTAATTTAAAGATTAGATTAACTCTGATAATATTAAATATTTAATATTTAATTAAAATATTTAATTTCTTAATGCTCAAGGAAAGTATAAAGGAGCATATGTTCAAATCGAGGGTGTTGGTTTAATCCCATCTTTACTGATGGGGCTAGGCCCTGACTCCCAAATGCCTCTGGCCCCGCTGGCAGCAGCTAGAGGACCACTTCAATGCCCAAAGCATTTTGTTTCCTGTGCCTTGACTCAGTTTCACCACTAGATGTCCCCAGAGACATGCAGGGAGAGACTTACTGTGCCTCTTTCAAAGGAGGTGACTGAACTTCCAGGGGTGTATTTCCCGGGTCTCCAACTTTACCTGCCTTCCAGAACAAACTACCCTTTGGAATTATTCTGTTGAAAGTTGCTTGTTTGAGGTATCTTATTTACATTTTTCTCTGAACGTTTAAATCAGTTATTTACATACTACACAGCACCTTGTTCCCATCTGAAGCCATGAAGTGGGTAACGTGAGTGATCCCAGGAGGAAATAATTGGACTAGAACGCTTTGTGCAAAGAACCCACTAATGAAAAAGTGACAGTTTGACTTCCCTGAGACCTGTACTGCTTCACAGGCACAAATATTTTTTCTCCGAAGTTTCGGTTTTATTTAAGCATGGAGAACATGTGAGAATCGGAGGTAGGTGGTGAGCTCATGCTTGGCTTACTACGGCCAAAAGCATCTTCCCCCTGCAAGTAATTATTATCATCCAGCGTCTTCATGTTAATGTGTTCCCTTCGTTTAATGCACTACTTATATGCACTGTCTGTAATTATGACAGTTTGGTTTCCACTGTTAGACCAAGGCTCAATAAATCCTCTCTGTAAAGGACCGGACACTTTTTAGCCCATTTGGTCACTATTGCAACTCTAGACTTTGTGGCAAAGACAAATGATCCTGGTTTTGTTCTGATAAAACTTTATTAACAAAAAGCAGGGCCAGATTTGATCTGGGGTTGCTGCAACTTGGTCCATAAAATTTGGGTTTGATAAATTGAGATTTAGAGGTGGGTAGAAAAACTATTCTGTATTCAAAACCTTGAGGACACAGGCCTTTAAATGTATAGTTCTTGTGGCCTCATCTCACCCATATGACATGACTGGAGGGGTTCTTGAGAGTGATGCAAACTGTTAGAGAGATGGAGCTACTAATATTTAAAGACAAAATGACCAAACAGAATAAAATGGAAAAGGTAATGGTCTGAAAAAATGGGAGTGTACCTGAAGCATATGATGTCACAAAAAAAAAGATTCACCAAATACTGCAACCCCAGAAGCCAGGTGTAGCCCTTAATTATGGCAAGTTGGGCACAATGGACAGATCCCTTTGGGGAGTTGTAGTAGACTGCATAGTGTCTGCCCCCAAATTCACACCCACCTGGAATTTTAGAACATGACCTTATATGGAAATAAGGTCTTGGTAGATGCATACCAAGGTAAGGGTGGAGATGAGATCATACTTGAAGCCCTAAATCCAATGACAGCATTCTTATAGGAGACTGAAAAAGACATACAGAGAAGGCCATATAAAGATGGTGGCAGAGAATGGAGTGATGCAGTTACAAATCAAAGGACACCATGGATTGCTGGGAACCACTAGAAGCTAGAAGAGGCAGGAAGGATCGTACCCTAGAGAGAACAAGGTCCCATTGATACTTTCTAGATTCCAGAACTGTGAGAGGAAAGACTTACGTATTTCTTAAGCTGGCTTAAAACAAGCATTAAACTTTGAATGGCAGCCTCAAGAAACTCCAAGAGGGTACATATGATGAGAAACACTACAGGACATGGGCATCTGGCAGACAATTTCAGTGCAGTGCTTCAGTGCCATGCCCAGCTCAGGCAGCTGGTAGTTATTTACCAAATGAATGAATACTTTAGTAACCTCTTAGTATGACATCTGATACTGAATTATAGATGGAATTTGTATTTCAAGAAGCAGTACAGCTGGAAAATATAAGTAGGCCCATAAATCCTTCAGGAAATTTTAAATCTAGCTGGTTATTTTAGACTATCCTGGGAAATGTAATGACCTTTTGATAATAGTGATCAGAAACCTGACTCCCTGAACACATCCTTTGATGCTAGTATCAGACAGAGAGACTTCCAGATGGATGGACACTTTGTGGGTCAACCTGGCTATTCCAATATATCACTATACAACATGCCTATCTGCGGAATATGTGGAAATCTGCCTTACCCATCTTAGATCACCAAGATTATCAGTTGCACATAACTGATCTAGTTTCCTGAAATTTTTTTTTTATTCAGTCCATTCATCAAGGCTCTTAGCACATCAAAGTTTAGGTTTAAAAAAAATTGCAAAGGGCATGCAGCAGAATACTGGCTTTTGGTAATGGTGGAGCAGATTGGTTGGTCTGACCCTTCTGCAGATAACAATTACAAAATGTGGGCAAAATATTTTTTAAAAACACGACTACTTAAAGATAACAAATGTGGGCCTCCCTGGTGGCGCAGGCGGTTGAGCACAGTGCTGTGAAGCTATCCGCAGCCTCTGCAGTGTAGGTTTGATCCCGGCCGGAGGGCGAGAATCCCACATAGCGCAGTAGCCCTCTCCTGTCTCACCCACTGCTCCCCTCAGCAGTGTATTTCAGTCAGTCTGCCTGTTCTGTTCCCTGCTCTGTCTCTGGTGAATACTCTCACCCTCCCGCACATCTGGCCTGTATCCCGGTTCTTATATAAATAAATACATCTTAAAAAAAAAAAAGATACCAAATGACCAAGCAGGGGAGGATGGTGACTCTGACTTTTGGCCTGGGGTCATGCCCCAATCCACAGCGACTGAGACAAAAATCAAAATCTGGTTGGGTCGAAGTATCAGAGGAGAGATTTTAGAATGTTAGGGGGAAATCCTAGGGGGGAGAGAGTCATAAAGGGGTTTAAGTCCCCAAATCTGCCTCCCAAATACTTGACCAACTGACTAAACCACACTCATATAGGAGAAATACCAGGTACTGGGGGAAAAATAGCAGCCTGAAGATGAAAAAATAGAGGAGATTTCAGGGCCTTCCTGGTGGTGCAAGGGTTAAGACGCAACCTATGAGGCTATCTGCAGCCACTACAGCACAAGTTCGATTCCTGGCCAGCCAGGGAGCTACCCACATGGTGCAGCAGACCTCTCTTGTCTCACCCGCTGCTCCCCTCAGCAGTGTATTTCAGTCAGTTGGCCTGTTCTGTTCCCCACTCTGTCTCTGGGAATCCTCTCACCCCCTGCGCCTCTGGCCTGTACCCCAGCTCTTGTATGCATAAATAAATAAATCTTTAAAAAAAAATAGAGGAGATTTCAGCTGCTGTGTCCTGGAGGAGGAATGGAGCTTGATTCAGCCAAGTAAAGTGCCATCAGGGACACACAGCAGCGTTGAAGACTTGACAGCATAGTACTCATGATGTTCAGGACCCAATAAAGACCATGAGCTATGATAAGAAGTAGGAAATTGTGGTCCACACTCAAGAAAAAAAGTTAATTGTAATCAAACCAAGATTATCTAGCTGATGAAGATAAAACAGATGCTAAAAATAAGCTCAAGTTTAAAGGAAGTTATATGAACTATGAATGAACATATGGGAATTTCAACTGAAGAAGAGAAACTATAAAAAAGAACCCAACAGAAATTCTGGAGGTGAGCAGTACAATGACTGAAATGAAAATTTTACCAGGGTGTAACAGCTGATTAGAGATAGCAGAAGGAAGAGTTGGTAAACTTGAAAACAGATCAACAGAATTTGCCCAATCTGAAGAACAAACGGAAAAATGAAGAAAAAAAGAACAGAAAGGTAGTTTAATATATATGGAACTGGAGTTCCAGAAGAAAAGGAGAGAATGAGAGTCTACACACACACACACACACACACACACACACACATGCATGCACACTCACACACACTAATAGCCAAATATCTTTTAAATTTGGTGAAAGACATCATCTTAAATTTCCAAGAACCTCGCAAACCCCAAGGAAGAGAAAAACAAAGAAAACCAATTTAGGTGTGTCATGGCTAAACAGCAAAAATAAAAAATAGTAATAGAGAGACTATGTTGAAAGCAGTCGGAACGAAACTACCCACCTTGTTTAGGGAACAATGGCATGGATGATGAGATTTCTGCTTAGTAAGAATAATGAGCAGAAGCAATGGGATGACATCACAACATGTCAGGAACTTTCCAAAGTGTTAGATGGACACATTCTCTATGATAATTGGATGTGCATACATGTAATATCCACTTGTCAAAATCTGCTAAGATTTGCACTTTGACTGCATGTAAATTTTAACCTAAAAACTCTGGGAAAATATAGTAACAGCAGAAGATGCGAGGAGTGGGTAGGTGTCAATGGCACAAGGACAGGATGCTGATAACTGCAGAGGTCGGTGGGTCCATTATACCGTGTGTCAATTTTGAAATTTCTTAATGAAAGGTGAAACCAGTATGAATCCCTCTTGACTGGTTCCAGGGGTCTCAGGATGGCCAATCAAAAGTAGAACACAAACACAGTACTGCCCATGCCTGGCTCAACCTGGCCAGGTTGGCCCAAAGTTCCCCGAGGCTGGGAAACCTAGTGTATTGTTTCTAAGTTGCTTCATTTTCCTTCTGGTCCAAGATAAGGAGAAACCAAGTGGGAGGAAGGCCCAGCCCCCCTGCTGCCATTTCCCCTCCCCAGCAGGGACCAGCGTTTAGAAGGCACTTCTGATCTTCTGGAGACTCTGCCACCCAGTCCAGTTCGCCGGTGGGAATACCTGCTGAGGTATTTGAGTGTGTGAAGGACTGAGAGCAACTGTAAGCAGCCCTGGATTCCAGCCTGGATGAATGAATTTGCCCAGGCACAAAGGGAAGAGGCTTCTATTTACAGGAAAATACTCTGGTTACTTAGTAACCAGTAATGACAGGAAAGGAAATGCAGAAAAAGCTGACAGCAATTTCTGGGCCCTGTTCCTGGCCAGGCGCTGACTCACCCCGACCTTAAGCAATCCTTTCTATTCCTGTTCCCCCATATGCCAAGCAGAGGGATCATCTACCTTACATAGGTCTGATCAATAGTTAGAAGACATTTTGTCATCTCTGGGGTCACTAGGGAAGGGTGAGCAAGGCGGTTTTAGTTACCTGTGTTCTGACTGGCTAATTAACATCCACTTTGGGAAGTCACAGGGCCTTTTACTTTGGGGAGATACAGATGTTCTCCTCAGGCCATCAGGTTATCCACTCCTGATACCTGGGGGCATCCAGATGGCACCAAGGTTCACTGGCACCAAGAAAGCAATTAACTTCTTCCCTGTGAACAAGAAACAGCAAGCCCACGATAGTCTCAAGAGAACTAGTTGTTCCAAACCCTGATGTTATGTTTGACATTCCGAGTATTATTATGGTGACCCGAAATACCAAGTCCACTTCCTTATCTTGGCTCCCCTTCAGTCTGAGGCCTGGGCACAGGAACAAGACTTGTGAGGGTTGGATTCTGTGTCGACTTGCTGGTGTGTGGCCCCCACTTGGCCCTGCTTGGCCCCTGGCACCAACAAGAAACTGGTAGTTTGGAGAAACTAATTGTCCATCTCCTCTTTCCTGGAAGTGGGATTCTTGAACACTCCACCATGGTAGAAGCCACATCCTACTTTGCTTTTGGATACCTCCCAGGACAGTTACTCTAGAGGCACTAATGCGGGGTTCCCCCTCAGACCAGAGCATCCTCTATGGGGGACAGAGCAGCATCACTGGTCCCCACCCACTTGATGCCAGGAGCACCCCTTCTCCTGCACTCCTGAGACACTGCTGAGTGTCCCCAATTGAAAGCCACTGTTCTAAGAAGCCCTTGAATAAAATAAATTTGAGGACAGCTTCAGAACAGGAAGAATAACAGGGGCACCCCAGTGGTCTGGGCATGAAATCGTTGCAATCCTGCCAGCCAGAGAAGAGTGTGGAATTAGCAGGGAGAAATGACAGGACCCTTGAAAGGCGCCCCGCTATTTCCAAGAGTATCAGATTTCAAGGGCAACCCATTATTCCTGCTTTGCCTAAAACTTCTGGGCACTCTGTCATTCCTCAGTCCACTTTTAAACTTTTTCTTCTGTAGCAATGGACTTTGAAGCATCAGAGCTGGCTCCAAGTTTCTCTGGAATAAAGTATCTTCAGAATTCAAATTCCTTTTCTTTTGGTAAGAACTGGGCTTCTGTTCCTGTTTTCTTTTTAATAGCCAAACCTTCCTTCTTTCTCCAGCAGAGGAGCAGGCTTGAGTCCTAGAAACTGGACGTCCAAAGGGCTCGAAGCAGGGTACAGGGGTGGGAGGCTGCCAGCACCCAGCTGTCCCCTGAAGTCAAAGGCCCATGTCCTCAGTGACATGGGACAGACTATGCTCAATAGGTCTCCTCTCGCCTGGGGGAACACACAGCCTCTTCCCCTTAAACAGACATAGTTGATTCCTAATTTAAGAATGGCCTACACTGAGGTATGGTAACCTTGACTAGGACGGGGTCTGATTTTAGTTACCACTGCCACTGCTGTAAATTCAGGGGGAAATGTAAGTCACAAAACTGTTCAGCCTTCACTGACATTTTCACCCAGCAAATACGCTTTTGGCAGGCAACCCGATTTCATCGCTTATTAGTAATAACTTAAACATCACAAAACTTGGTTTCCAAGAAATGGAAATTCTCCCGTGTTTGGGGGGTGCCCTGAAGTGCATCACATCCATGGGATGTGAAGCGGGAGACTGACGTCAGCTGCTTATCTATCCTGGGAGAGCGGGAGAGAAAGTGTTGGACACTCACCCATGTGCATGCAAACACATATATATACACCGACACCAGCACACCAACACACACAGCACACGCACACACATAGCACATGCCACAGAAACACACAAACCTATATTCCCAAACACATACATGTTGCACATGTGTCCACACATGAAGGAAACCCATAAAACACACTTACATCTATAAACACACCAATGTACAAATACCCACATGTACACAAAGCACACGCACACACACACACGTGATGCAGACATATGGGAGAAAAGTGGCTAAAATCACCCATGAGACTCTTGTTATTTTCTTACTCCAGGTATTTAAACTATTAAACTGAAAGTTGACTCCTCCCAACAGAGAAACAGCAATGATTCTTATAGGAAAAAAAAAAGGAAGCAAGAGAAACACATTTACATGTTTGCATATGGGAGAAAATCTCAAAATATGTCTTTTTCCCCTTAGATAATTTCCTCATGCCAGGACTCTACTCTGAAATTGCAGCCCCTGCCCCCCACTTTCTGATGCAGTCCCCTACCCCGGTGAAAGACAGGCAAAGCCCAAGTATTTACTCCAAGCCCCTTGCAGAGCGGGCGGCCAGCCAGATGCAGGTGCGGGTCTCTGTGTTGGAGCCTCCATCTCCCAGAGACACAACCACTGGCCGCTGCCCCTGCCTCATGCCCAGTCACTCCATCGACACCATGGCCCCAGTCCTTAGCTTCTTTGCTGGTCTGGCGTACTGGGGTTGAGGGGAGCCTGTGCTCCTTCATCTGCTTCTTATACACTCCCCCTGACCCCAACCCCTCGTGTCACCCACGGTTCTACCTGAGATCTTCATGGACAGTTTCAGGGTTGTCTGAACTTGACCTCTCCATAGTGTTTGGTGTTGCCCATGAGATACTGTTCCCCTAGTTTCTGGTCTCTTCCTCCTCTGATGCTGCCTTCTCAGCTCTTACCCTGGCCCCTCTTTGTCCCATGCCCCACCTTTGGGCCTCCCCTTCCCATCACCCTCAGTGATGTCACCATAATTTCTAAGACTGCCCAGTCACCCGGCTCTAGATTGCCATTTCTCACATATCCCAACCCCTCAGATGCCTCCACAAATCCAAAAAGGAACTTTTCCCCTCAAATTTTTGCTTCTTCTGTGTTTCTTTAGCCAGCAGTCTCTTTAAGTAATCAGGCAGCTCCCTCAGCCGCAGGGCTCAAGCTAACTGCCATCCTACCAGGAGCCACCTGTCAGGGACCCAGTGCATCCCTGTGACAACATGTCCCTAGGCATTACGGTCTTCCCCCGACAGGCATGCAGATCTCACATCAAGGGCTGCTAAAAATCTAGCTGCCAAAATAGAGGTCAGGGACACTTTGACCAGACAGCTAGAGGTGTGGCTCAGTCTGGGAGATCCACACACCTTCTGCCCTGAAGATCGTGTACTCACAGCTACCCAGAGAGCCCTGCTCTGCAGAGCAGAAACAGACACCTGTGCCCTTCCCACCTCCCAAACTGCCACTGGATCTTAACTCCATTAGGAAAAAGACTTGACGGTCTTCGTGATATAAATAAGAAACATGCAGCTTCTGGACAAACGCTGAGGTGAGCGCCCAGGCAGGCTGGGGAAGAGGGGAGCAGCACACACTTTGCACTCAGACACGATCGAGTTCACATCTCAGCTCCGTCACTGGCTGTGGCCATAACCATGGCCTCAGGGGTGGGGGGAGGAGGTGGAACGATGTACAGCCCTGTGTCACTCAGGAGGCTACGTTCTGAGAAATTAAGTGATTATGTTGTGCGAACCTCACTGAGGTGTAATTACATGAACCTAGCTGGTATAGTCTACTACGCACCTGGAATTCTCTATGCTTGGGGACCATGATGAACACAGTCACAAGAGATTAAATCAAGCACAAGGGAAAATGTGAGCATCAAGAGGTTTGGTACACAGGAGCTTCAGGAGGCTACTGCAGTCAAGGTGGTTAGAGCGGCTACAATGTCAGTAGGCAGTAAGACTTTGGGTATCAACATTGTACATGGCTCAGCGGTTGACTGAAATGTTGCTAAGTGGCCTTGGCTGTACTGGATGGATGTTCCCGCTGTGCTCGATAAATAAATTGTGACCTAGTAGAAAGGAAGAGGGTAGAGCTGCTACCCCACTCAGCAGTGATTGTGGGCCAGACTGCCTGTTTCTCGCTAGGCAAGTTGTACATGTTATACTGCTTCTAGGGAAGCACTCCATTATCGTCCCCACTTTAGAAATGACAACAGACTAAGGCTCAGAGAGATCAAGCGAGAAGAGGCAGGGCTAGATCTGAGCTGGGTCTTCTCCCAGGCACATGTTTGTGAAGACCCCGGGTCCCCCACTGTCTAGTCACCTGTTTCCTTCCCAGATAAATTGCTTCCCCACTCCATGCCAAAGAGAACTTGAAATAACCACACGAATTCGGTTTTTCACTTTAGAAGTTTTTATATTTTAGCTTGTTTTTGAAGTTATGAATCGATTGACATGATTCCTGTGAATGAATTACATGAACCCGACTTGGACTAATCCCTTTTGCCTCCTATGTGGTTTAAGTTAAGAAGTAACTCTTGATTCGTTCTACATAATTGGAAGGAACTTGTAAATAACGACACCATCACCATTCCCACAAGCGGCTTCCTGTGTACATAAAGCAGTGGGTACTTCAGAATTTATAACACCCCAACTTGCTCCCTGACCAGCTATGTACACGCAGTGCCTACTCTTACTCCCACCCCCAGACCGACGCCATCTGTTTTCCATCCTGTTTCCATGCCCCGCCCTGTGCTCTTCTAACCTCACGAGCTCACTCACCCACATTCCCCTGCTGCGTGGGCAGGCCACGCCCTCTCCCACCCGCCCCATCCTGGCCTCTGCTGTGTATACACTTTCCCTGTCGCTCTATGGAGAAAGCCCGTCTTCCTCTGATTTCTGATAAATTGCTTACATGGGATGACTATGTGCCAGACCTGGAGCCCGGGTTAGTGGGCCTGCAGGCCTGAGCTCGGGCCACTGCACTGTGCAGCCTCCTGTGAGCTTGTGTCTCTGTGGAACACCAGCCACTGTGGTATCTGGACCTGCAGGGTCGAGGCTAGGGGGCGGCTGCGTGGCAAGTGGTTGTCATGACCGTGGGGAAAGACGGTCCTGGCATCGTGTGCGTGTGGGGTAAGGGCTGCCGCTCAACACCCTACAGTGCCTGGGAAAGCCCCCTCAGAGCATGAGCCAGTCCCCACAATCTAGAGCACTGAGGTTAAAAAACTCTGAGTTAGAGCAGTGCATCTCAAACTTGAATTTCTCCTGGGTACTGTTATAATGCAAGTTATAATTCATGAGCCGTTCCAGGAAAGGCCCATCAGTGCCTCTTACCTACGCCTGACTCTGCGCCCCAGGGGACAGCTGGTGATGTTTGCATGTTGTCACACTGGAGTTCTTCCTGGCACTACATGGGCCAGGGGTGCTGCTCAACACCACACAGTGCGCAGAGCAGACCCCACAAGGGTGATCCCGCCCAAATGTCCACAGCGTGGAGCGGCGTAATCCTTGTACCTACAGGTTTTAATCGCTACTCACCATGATACAGCAGGCCCTTG